AGAAGCTTAAGTCTCAAAGTCTAAGCCAAGAAACTTACACCTGGAAGTTCAAGCCTAGAAAAAGCTTAAGCCTAAAAACTAAGTATAGAATAGAAGACTAAGCCAAAAGTTAGTGGCCAAAGCTTAGAAGCTTAAACTTTTAAGCTTAAGCCTATAATCATAAGCCTAGACAGTTAAAATCTGTAAGCCTAATTCTAGATGGTTGAATTAAGAAGTCATTGCAATCTGTCTGGCACTTTAAATCTATTACCTTTAATCACAAACTTTAGGTTTATGCCTTCTAAGCCTAAGTTTATGAAATATATGTTTATGACAAATCTCTTGACACATTTTAAAACTGTAAAGTTCAAAAGCTTGTTTTTGAGGTTATTTTTGTTTTGAGTAGGTGTACACTACGGTTTGATTGGGCACGAGACAAATCTTTGAGTTGGAAACGTTTTCCCCCGAGGGCCGTGTCAATCAAAGGCACCTGAAAAAGGGCGGCTTTTTGACTTTAATGAACATTTTGCTTTATTCAATCACGGTCACAATCTCTCGTCTTTTTTGGCCAATTGAGTTGGGGCTACTTTTGGAACGATGGGGTTATTGTTGGAACACTTTCGTGAAATTTGATTTTGGAACATAAAGAAGCGGGAAGTGAGGTGTAGGCTTAATTCTTGCCTTTTCTTCCTTGTAAAAAAATTTCTTGCCATTTTTTACTCCAAATCTTCAAAATGTGACTTTTTCGCTTTTTCATGAGAGATTTGTATTTTTTTTAGATTTTGAATTTCTCACTTCCGGCTTATTGTCATAAGTTAATAAGCGTGGGGATGACTTGTTTCAAGGGGATTTGAGCTGGAATGTTTAAGCTTAAATTCAATTTTTAAATTCTTTGCTGGTAGGCTAGCTAACAATAAGCTAAGAATCTTGCCAGTCTTTGAAACATTTTTTTCTCTACCCGCCATTACTAAAAAAATTTACCACGCCCAAAAATTTTTTAAATTTTTTTTTCATTTTTTAAACACGTCGAGCTTGTTTTTACAAATTTTTCTTAAATAATTTTTTTCCTTGCCCCTCCCTTCTAAAATATTTTTTACCACGCCCAATAAAATTCAAAATTTTTAAAAATTTATATAAAGAAAGTGATTTTAAAGATTAAAAAAAATCTATTTTCTCATTTCTCAATCTTCCCTATTCCCCTTTAAAAGTTTTTACTCCGCCCTAAAAAATTTAAAAAAAATTTAATTTCGTCCCAAAAAATTAAAAAAAAAATTTTACGCCGCCTTCAACAATTTCAAAACCGCGCTCTTTACCTAAAATTTCGATGATAAATCACAATCCCAGACACCTTTTTAGCCGCTATGTCAGCCAAAACCCCCCAATTCATCATAGGCAGTTATACTTCATTAGACCATCTTTCTATGACATTTGTTTTTATTCACCTGTTTTCGGGGAAGTTGCACGCGAACCAACACACAACATTTTCATTTCTTCCCCACTTATGAATGCAAATTTTTTGGGCCGTGTCAAGAACATGTCTGCGGGCACGTTATCTCATTTAGTTTTTATTAGCGCGCTTGAGTTTGGGTGTTTTTTGAGGGTTATGTTGGGTGAGTTTTTGTATAGGGGGTGTTCTGAGGGTTATGTGGTGCGGATTTTTGGGTTAATGTTAATTTTTTGGTGTGTAATCAAATTTAGGGGTAGTTTTCAGTTCTTGTGGAAGGGAAGGACAGTTTAGTACCGTAGGCAAGTGTAAGGTAGAGCTAGGGTAAAGCTGTTTTGTGCAAAGTTAAGGTTGACATAGGGATATGGCTAGAGCTAAAGCTAGGATAAATCTATGTCGGACAAGGCTACGGTAGGGCTAAAGGCTAAAGCCAGGGATAAGGCTAAAGTTAAGACTAGAGCTAACAGTATGGTGTGGGCAAAGGCTAGGGATTGAATTAGAACTAATATTAAGTTCAGCACTAGGGCTAGTGCTGGGTTAGGACCAGGGCCGGGCGGGAACTTTCGGTGTGGGGGCGGGGGTCAAAAAAATCCACAGGGGGCCACGTAAAATTTTTTTTCTAAGGGGAGGGGAGTTCCCCCCGTCCACCCCTCCCCCTAGCGCCCGGCCCTGATCCCTATGATATATATAATTTCGTAAGCTCTAGCCAAAGCAAGGTTATAAAAAAGATGTGGCTATGGTAGGGCTTAGGTAATGCGCTGATATAAAAAGTTATAATGCTAGGGGTATATATTTTTTTATTTTTGTTACGATAGAGCATGTGAGGTGATCTTTTAGAGTTTTTCAATTGTGAGTGTTTTTACAGCGCAGTAAATCATCTATGTACTAATATAGCACGCACAGAAACTTAAATACAAGTCTGTTTTCAAATATTAATTTGTCTGAACCAGTTATTCAAGCTACAAGCTGGCTTAAAGGCACGCTAACTGCATTTTTTTCAATCAGCCATGCTTAGTTTTGATTTTTGAAAAAGAATTTTTAAGCTTAATATTTTTTAACTTTTAATTTTTGAAAATACCGAAAATCCATATTTTCAAAAATTTCAAAATTGTAGAATTAAGCTCCAAAAATTGCAGACATCATTGCACTTTAATTGAATTTGCAATTTTCTTGTAAGGTTTAGCGTTTTCTAAGCCGCTTTTAGAACTTTAGCCTATTTACAAGAATCAAGTTTACAGTGTGTTTTGCTGTAGTTAATCCAACAAAATCTTAATTTAATAAATAAATTTGAAGTTCCTTAATTTGAAAAATGCAAAAACTTAAACGGTTTTAAAAAATTAATCTTCTTTTATAGATTCCTTTGAATTTGTCGTCATTAAAGTCATTGTCTGGATCAGGGCCGGGCGGGGACTTTTGGTCATGCCCGGCAGGGTTCCCAAAAATCGGCACAGGTAGCTGTGCCGATTTTTTGCAAAATTTTTTTTCCGAAAATCCACAGGGGGGGGACCACGTTCAACTTTTTTCAAAAATTTTTTTCTGGGGGGGGGGTACCCCCCTCCGTCCCTCCCCCTCGCGCCCGGCCCTGGTCTGGATGATAGGGTAGGGTTGAAATGAGGCTAAATTTAGGCCTAGGGTAGGGTTAGAGTAGCAAGGGTAAGGCTAGGATAAGGTTTGGATACAGCCTTGAATAAGGGCTATAATAAAGGCCAGGGTAAGGCTAGAGCAGGGCTAGGGTAGGGCAAGAGTAAGGCGTGGGTAAGTTTTGAATATAGGCTTGAATAAGGCTAGAAAAGGGTTTTGATAAGGGCTAGGGAAAGGCTAAGTTAAAACTAGAAAAGGGCTAGGATAAGGCTTGAATACAGGCTAGAAGAAGAGGTATGGAAGGGTTACAGCATGACCAAAATATTTGCTAGGGTACAGGTTAAGGTATGGCTAAGGATTGGCGAGATCAGGGCTAGGGTGCAGCTAGAACATAAGTTAGAGTAAGGCCATGGTAGGGCTACGGCAAGGCAGGACTTGGGTGAGGCTAAGGAATGGCTATACTAGAGCTGGTACAAGGCTTACAATGAGGCTAAAGTAAAGCTAAAAAATTAAAAAAAAATTTTAATCTAATTTTTTTTAAATGTTTGAAATTTGTTATGTCCTTAGTGGTTTGCCTGGACTGTCTATACATTTTTTTTGGGGTTGGGATGGCTATTTTTGTGATTTGGTCCGCTAAAATTTTTTCTTTTTTTAGGTCCGAATTCGCTTAAGAAAAGCACAGGTTAAAGCTATTTGCCCAACAAATTCCCCCCCAAAAATAACAAACACAATGCCCATGCCATTAAAAAAACGGTGGAACATTAAGCAAGCGTAACTCGTTCATGAACAAAAAAATGTATAAATAAGTACGGGCGGCACGAGTTTGGTGGCCATGTACTTTTTCGTATTATTTTCGCTCCATTTCGAGAACAATGTCATGAAAAAAGGCTTCGAATTTTGGTCGAAAGCCTTTTTTTTTGCGAATCCACTAATGCACTTTTGGTCGGAAAAAGCAAATGGAGATGTCTTGTCTTCGCACTTTTGGATATCCTACAAAGTGGCATATATCTCTTCTAGGCTACAATGGAAGCAAGGGGGGGGAGAGGAAGGAGATGTCTTGTTTAATGTTTGGACATGCTAAATTTGTCCCATTTTGAAATTTTGAATTTTAAAAATGGCATTTCAGCTAAATTTTGAACTTTATAAGATGATTTTAATGGCATGCTAATTTGGCGAGGGTTTGTATTTTGTAGGGCGTGGTAGATTTGGGTCTAAAAAAGTACAGATATCAAGAAGCAGGACAAGATGTGGTAGAGTATTGTAGGGTTCAGCCATGGTAAGGGTAGGGGTAAAATAATAGATAGGGTAACTTAAGACAGATTACTGTAGGGCGGAGTACGGTCAAGTAGAGTACGGCAGGTTATAGGTTGGGTAGGGACAGTAGGGTAGGTTAGGTTACAGTAGGATATGGTAGAGTAGGGTAGGGTAGAGTAGGGTAGGGTAGGGTAGGGTAGGGTAGGGTAGGGTAGGGTAGGGTAGGGTAGGGTAGGGTAGGGTAGGGTAGGGTAGGGTAGGGTAAGGTAGGGTAGGGTAGGGTAGGGTAAGGTAATGTAAGGTAGGGTAGGGTAGGGTAGGGTAGGGTAGGGTAGGGTAGGATAGGGTAGGGTAGGGTAGAGCAGAGCAGAACAACGCAAAACAAGACAGGGCAAAGAAAGATAGGCTAGGACAGAGTAGTGCAGTTTTTGGGGCTTTTGAGGATTGGTTAATCCGACAATCTGAAAAAAGGTTTGGGCGTGGTAAATTTTTTTTAAATGTGGTTTGAATAGAGAAATATGGACAAGAGGATATTTTTAAATCAGGTTTTTTGCATTTTTTGATTAGACTTACATTTAAAAATAAGAAAGGAGGGCGTGGTAATTTTTTAAAATTCTTTTGAATTTTAATTCAAAAATAAAAATTTTAGCCGTTTTTTAAATTCGAAGTTTTATCTGCAACATTAATTTTTCGTTTGTTTTTGTAAAAAATATTTTTATTACCCACTAACATTCCTTTCAGGATGGAAGGCGAACACGCGCCTCCAGCGCCGCCCAGCTTGAAACGGCCGAATCGAACCGCCGTTGGCTTGGCTGACATTACACCGCCCACTCCACCGACAAACCATCCCACCGAGCCGTTTGCCACACCTCAAACTCCAACAACCTCAAAGTTACTGAATGTATCACAAATGGTGCGCCAACAGTCGGATACTACGGCGAATCGACGTCTCACAAGAGCGGCCGCGATTTGTGAAGATGAACCTCGACCTCAGACTAGTGCCAATTCTAATCAGGTGGGAATTTTTTTTTGTTTTGGAGTGTTTAGACTTAGAAATGTGTGAGGAAACTAGAATTTTTTTTTTTTGGGTTTACCATACCCTATCCTTTCTTACTCTACCCTACTCTATCCTACACTACTTTTTTCTACCCTGCCTTGCCCTACCCTACCCTACTCTAACCTACCGTACCCTACCCTGCCCTACCCTATCCTTGCATTACTCTTACCTTACCCTGCCCTTACTTTCACCATGCTTTATCCTACCCTTACTGTACACATACCTTACCCTACCCTAGCTTTCCTTAGGCCCTACCCTTGCCTTAGTTATGTTTTATGCTTGTCTTACCCATGCTTTGTCCTATTTTTTTCTTTCTTACGCTACCCTACCCGTCTCTTAACCGCGTCTTACTCTACCCGTGTCTTCTTTACCGTTCACCCTAACCTTATCATTTTCATTGTGGGTTTGCCTTAATTGTAGTTTAGCCTACCCATCCTGCTCTACTTTACCCTTGTCTTTTACTTATTTTACCCTGCCTTTACCTTATCATGCTTTATCATATCCTTGCTGTACTCATGCCTTACGCTACCCTTGCTTTCCTCGGGCTCTACCTGCCTTTGTCTTGCTCATGCTCTACCCTAAACTTGCTTTATTCTTGCCTTACTCTACCCTTGCCTTCCTAATGTTTGACCCCATCCTTGTCTTACTCATGTTCTAATCTACCTTGCTTTCCTTAGGCCTTACCTACCTTAGCCTTGTTCATACTTTACCCTAAACTTGCTTTATTCTTGCCTTAACCTACCTTAATTTTTCCTCATGCCTGACCCTACCCTTATCTCACTCATGCCTTATGCCAACCACGTGTCGGTACCATCAAAAAACCCCTGAGGCCATTAAGCTCAATCAGCCAAATGGAAGAACATAAAGTCGTAAAACGGGGAAAAAGCGGCTCATTACCATCGGCCGCCAAACAAAACTGATTTTTTGAAATTGGAAAAAGTAAAAAAAAAGTTTGCTCCAAAATTCGAAAAAAGATGGTTTGATTTTTTCCGGCCTGAGGGGCGAAAAGCAAATGCCCGGTCAAAAGGTGGGAGGTTGTTTCTCGAAACAAGGCCCAATTTAATTTATAATGACCGATCTGGAATTCGCTATGTTTGACTTTCGCAAATCCCGTTATTGATCGCAGAGCCCGGAAACTCGTGTTTTTTCACGGTTTTGCAGGTTTATCAGTGTGATCGAGGTGTTGTGTTTTCGAAATTCTAGAAGTACTTTTTAGAGTTTGAATTAGAGGATACAAACTTTTACAATGATTTTAAAACGTCAATGTCTAGGGCAAAGGGGTAAGGCAAGACAAGGGCTAGGGCAGAAAAAAGCGAGAACTAGGAATTGGGCTTTATCTAGAGCTAGGGCAAGCAAAAAAATTTAAGCTAAGGAGGGCAGGGTAGGGTAGGACAAAGTAGAATAGAATATGGTAAGGAAGGGTAGGATGGAGTAAAAAAGTTCATGCAAAAAAATTTTGTTCAGTTTAAGAGGGTTAATTTGGTATTATACAAGGGAGAGGGGGCGGAGGGTAAAATTAAAAACTAATTAAAAAAAAAAGTTTTTTTTTTCATTTTTTTCACGACTTTACCTTACTTTTTGTGATAGATTTAGACATGAAGAACGGGCTGGGCCAGGCCCAATTTTCAGGCCCGGCCCGAATTTTTTTTACGTGGAAACGGGCAGGGCTGGTCCGGACCGTTCTTCATGTCTAGATAGATCCTCTCCAGGAACAGCGCTAGGGGTATGAGGGTCTATGAATGGGGTGGATTCATTCCGTCCCCCCCCATTCCCTTATGAAAGCCGTATTTAAAAAATCGAAAAAAGTTTTTTTAAAATGAGTACACCTGTAGACAAAAAAAAAAGGATTTTATTTTTTATTAAAAAATGATTTTTGGTGTCCATTAACCTTTGTTTTTCAATTGCCACGGTTTATAACCTGAAAGCCTAGAATTTATTTTTGGAACTCGTAGCAGATTGTTCCTCAATAAATCATAGGATTGGGATATCAAGGCGTCGTAATGTATTTTGCATGCATTTGAAAGATATTACCATTAATCATCGAAATTCATGGTAAATACTGCTGTTTTGTGAGTTATGCCGGTGGCTTGCGACCTGGTTTTGTTCTATTTGGAGTTGTTTTTTGAAGGTAATGGTTTGGCTAGGTTTAAGACAGATATATGTAGATAGGTTTAGGTTAATAGGGTCAGGTAGATTGAGGTTCAATTTACAAAGGGCTTTAGGCATGGCTTTGGCTTGATTGATAGTTTTTAGTTTGCAAGAGTTAATGAGATTGAGATTTAGTTCACAAGGCACTTCTAGGCTTGGCTTCTGCCGTAGCCAGTGTTTTGCCGGACCAGGCTGGTCCGCGGACGGACCCAATAAAAATTTTTGCGGACCGGACCCAAAAAATACCTTCGAACCTGCCACAAAAATTTTTTTTTCCGAATTGGACCGTACTAGACCCAAAAGTTTTTGGTTTGGACCGGACCCAAAAATAGCTGGACCGGACTGGTGACAAACGCTGCAAACCGGTCCCGGCAAAACATTGGCCGTAGCTTGCCCCAGCTCGCGTATAGCCAAGCTGAAAAGTTTGAAAAAGGTCAGGCCGGATCGGCACACGTGTGACTAGGAGCCGGGTCTTAAATCATGGCTCGGCCCGTGGATAGGCCCTAAAAATCGGGTTTGGCTTTTTGATAGTGTTGACTAGTGCAGTAGGTATAACCAGAAGTAGCGGGACACTTTTTAATGGAAAAATAGATGAAAGCTGTCCTGCTACTTTTGGTTGAACATAATATTAGGTTTTCGACATAAAGAACCCGCCGTACTTTTATCTTAGGCTTAGGCTTGTAATTTCTTGTAAAAAATGGCGGGTTCTTTATGTCGGCGTCTAATATATACTTGTCTTATCTTCTACCGTGAATGTCACATTAGCCTTAAACTAATAGGAAGGGTAAGATAAGGTAAAAACTGGCTGTATTCGTCTATAAAAGGTTATATATCTACCACTGTCCACCCCTATTGGCTTCATAAAGGTTACATGTCAACCACTATCCCTTACCTTTCCTCACTCAACGTTTCGCCCCGTCTACAAAGGTTGGCTCTCTACCCACAGCGCATTATTTATGTCTCCGGCACATTATCCATCCGCACCTACTCAACAACCTTTGGCGCATCACTTTCACGCCCCAAACTGATATGGTCGTAGCGGGGGCGCCGGTTCGTTCGAGTGGAGTCGAAAAGCCCGGTTCGAGTTATTTGCGGGCGAATGTTAGGTTTCGGCAAGGATGGAGATGAGTACCGGGTTTTCCCCCCTCCTTCGCCCCTCTTTTTCGGGTCTTCAAGAGGTCTTCAGGGACCGTTTAAAGACGCCTCAAACGCCACCACATCCCGAGAAGCCGATGAAGCCTGCGGGAGGCTTCGGTTGCACTGTTTGCCGAAACCTGAAACCGCTGCTACAGTTTCCACGAAGCAAAGAAGGTTTTCTTTGTGGTGGAGGGGGAGGCGCGAGCTTCTGAAGCGTGGCGGATTGTTTTTTTTTGTTTTTGATGGTTTGAGATGTTTCTCAGGGTTTGCGGTCGGTTTTTTTATTAGGTTTTGGTCGGTTTTTATCAGGGTTGTCGGTCGGTTTTATCCGTGTTTGCGTTACTGATTGATGTATAGGCAAGGTAAGGCAAAGCTTAGGGTACGAACAAAAGAACGAGAGCTTGGACTTGATTAAAAGCCAGGGCAAGCAAAGGGCTAGAGTGGAGTAGGGTAGGATAGGGCAGGGTATGAGTAGAGGTCAAGGAATCATGATAAGGTGAGACAATTACTGTAGAACGATTAGGGTAAAATAATGTAAATCAGGGTAAGTAAAGTCAATTGAGAGCAGGTCAAGGGTATGGGTAGGGTATATTAGGGCAGGATACGCTATGACATGGTAAAATGAGGCAGGTTAGGATAGATTAGGACACGGTAGGTAAAGTAAACTAGAGCAGGGTGAGGATATTGATAAGGTAGGGTAAAGTAGGGTAGAGTAGGATAAGGTAGGGTAGGGTAAGTAGGGTAGGGTAGGGTAGGGTAAATTAGGGTAGGATAGGGTAGGGTAGGCTACTCTAGGCTGGGCTAAAGTAGAGTAGGGTATGAATCATTTGTGCTCAACCCCATGATGACAGTCAGAAGCCACCCCCAAGTGGACGACGTCAGTCGACGTCAAATCGACCTATTGTAGAGTCACACATTGTCCTCGAGTTTGCTTGTAATAGATAATTTATTCATACTTTGTTCCAAACGGTCGGTAGCTTAGGGAACTCATAAACCGCTTGTTTTTCGAAGAATTACGAAGGCCTGGTGAGTGGTGAACTAACTAGGGGTTTTAGTGCTTTAGCGATGTTGTAGTAAGCATTCTAGGGCTGTAGACGTTGTAGTAGGTATCTTGAGTGTTGTAGTAGGTATTCTTGGGTTGTAGATGTTGTAGTAAGCATTCTAGGGCTGTAGATGTTGTAGTAGGTATTCTGGAGCTCTAGATGTTGTAGTATGCATTCTAGAGCTCTAGATGTTGTAGGAGGTCTTCTAGGGCTGTAGATGTTGTAGTATGCATTCTAGGGCTATAGATGATGTAGAAGGTATTCTAAGGCTGTAGCTTGAATTTTAGAAGCGTAGGGTAGTACAGGGTAGTTAGTATAAGGTAGAGAAAAGCCGGTAAAATCAATTTTTTAACCCTAAATTTTAAGAACCCCCTAAATTTTTTTACTAAAAGTTTCAAAATTTACCCCGCTCATTACCCAAACCCTCCAAAATCCGGCCTATTTTTAACTTTTTTGGACTAATTATCCAAGAAACATCTTCCTTCTTAACCAAATAATTCTATTCGCCCATCTGCAAAAGCATTTCACTTCTTTTTCGAACCGAAATTTCATGCCCTAGGCGATAGGAAGCTTGTTGCGGAATGCCAAAGTTTTGGAGATAGCTTGTTGCGGAATGCCAACGTTTAGAGTATTGATTGTTGCGGAATGCCAAGGTTTAGAACAGCTTGTTGCAGAATGCCAAAGTTTAGGGAAATAGCTTGTTGCCGAATGCCAGTGTTCAGGACATTACTTGTTGCGGAATGCCAAACTTAAACCTTATAAAAAGGGCAATTATAGAATTTAAAATTTTCGAAATTTAGATGTCTGATAAAAAATTTATTATCAATAATTTAATAAAAGATTTTTTAAAACTTTTTTAATTTACAGTAATAGTTAAAACCCCCTTCCCCAAAATCCCTTCGCGCAACCTGCGCAATTAGAGGCGCAGGGAAGATCCGAAAACATGCAATGTTTTCGGATCTTTTCGATGTTTAAATCCGTGAATTTCCACTTCGAAATTTGAGGAAATGAAAGAAATTCGCAGGAAATTTTTTCAAATTTTCTCGGAACAGAGCAAAATTTTTCTCATTTTTCGTACTTTTCAAGCCGAAACTTTCGCTTCTTGATGTCTAGACGTTGGTCCGAGCCCATAAAACCCACGGATGGCGGGCAAAAAAAATTTACTAGCTCCTATAGGCGAGTGAGTTGTTGTTCCATCAATGAATATTAACAAGTGTTCAAATATTAATCCATAGTTATTACGACTTAACCATATTCACCTGGATTTACGCAAAATTCTAACATTTTTCATTAAAAGTGATGTTATTCATGATAATCTGATATTAATCTTGATTTTCTTTCAGATGCCAGAGTTCCTACTGCAACGGCCGACGAAAATAGTGACGGTTGTTGACCAGAGGACGAATGACAAGTATATCCAGTTGAATCAGTACAGGTTAATGGAGGAAATTGGTCAAGGAAGTTACGGCATCGTCAAGTTGGCTTATAATCAAGAAGATCATAATTTATATGTGAGTTTTTGATCTATTTTTGTTGGTTTTTAGGTTTATAGTTGACGAAGGGCTGTGCCTTGATTTGAAGGAGAAGAACCAGTTGTTTTTGATCTTTGGAACATTAGTTATACTTGATTTTGTAGGTAACGGTTAGCTAAATCAAACTTTTCGAAAATTGGGTAATATTTGATATTTTTAGGCGATGAAAGTGTTGGATAAAGCAAAGTTATTGAAGAATTTTGCTTGTTTTCGTAAGTTTCATTAATATCTTTTTGATTTTTATGGTTTTTTCTACCGAAATATATTATGATAGACAAAAGTTGACGTTGTGATCGAAAATTACTAAATTTTACTGATTTCCAAGTGAATTAAACTATGTTTCTATATAAAATGGATAATATACTATCTTTTAATGTTTTAAAATTTATTTTCAATGTTTTAGGACCACCACCAGCACGAAAAAATCGAGCGACGTCAGCAGTACATCGAGATCCATTGATATTGATAAACAAAGAGATTGCTATTCTCAAGAAACTTCGGCATCCGAATATAGTAACATTAGTAGAAGTAGTAGATGATCCTAGCGACAAATATTTGTACATGGTATTTGAATATGTGGAGAGGAGGACGTTGCTAGAGCTTCCGACGGAACATCCTTTAGATGAAGAGACGGCTTGGAAGTATTTTAGGGACACTGTCAAAGGTCTGGAGTATTGTAAGTTTATTTTTACAGTTTAGAAGAGTATTGGATATGATTTTAGACAAGATTTGATAAGATTTTCATTTATTTTCCAACAGAAATCGTCATTAATATTACACTACTCACTAACCAGATATTATCCTTGATTTTTTGGTGTTTTTCCTTTAATTTTTAATTAATTACGACTTGGTACTTTTAGTACACTATCAGAAGATTGTTCATCGTGATATAAAACCTCAGAACTTGTTGTTATCCGAAGCGAATCAAGTGAAAATAGCTGATTTTGGTGTTTCATGTGAATTTGAAGGAATTGACGCATTTCTAAGTGGTACCGCTGGTACGCCAGCTTTTATGGCACCAGAAGCACTCATTGGTATGTTATTTATCTGTTTGTTTTTGTTTTAGGTATTTAAAATGGACATCGATCGACTTTCTTTAAGTTTTTCGATGTTGTAGTAGGTAGTGATGGTCAAATTTGATTTTTTGAAAGTTTTGTGTAACTTGAGGGTGTATGTGAAGTAAATATTGTAAAGTAATTACAGAGGACTCTTCCCAGTTCTATTCCGGTCGAGCGCAGGATATCTGGTCGCTAGGTATCACGTTATACGCGCTGGTTTATGGTAACACGCCTTTCGTCGATGGATACATCTTGGCACTGCATAAAAAGATTAAGAATGAACCATTAGTATTTCTAGAAACGTATGTTGGCATTTTTTATTACCTTTTGGAATTTAGAGTTAATTTTGCGTTTTTAACTTCAAAATACAAAATTTTTGTCGGACGCAGTTAGCGATCTTTGTTTCGCAGGCTGCAGGGTGTCTATGTAATAATATGATTGTTTTTCAGGCCAGAGATTACCCAGCCAATGAAGGATTTGATTTCAAGAATGTTAAAGAAGGATCCTGGATTGAGAGCCAATTTGAACGAGATCAAGGTTAGTTTTTTATATTGTAGTAGGTATTAAAGTCAGAAATAATGCGTTAAAAAGGTCAAAATTAGTCAGATTATGATTGGAAATGATGTAAAATTTGTAGTTCTATATTTTTGATATTCAAATTATGTTGTTCTACTTCTTTTTCCTCTTCAGAACCACCCATGGGTGACCAAAAACGGCCTCTGGCCAATGCCATCGGAAGAAGAGAACTGCAGTTTGGTCAGTATCACAGAAGAGGACGTACAGAATGCAGTACGAATTATTCCACGTCTCGATACCTTGATCTTGGTCAAAGCTATGGGTCACCGGAAACGATTTGGCAATCCATATAGGAATAGTTCAGCATCAACAACATCACTACGGTTAAGGAGGATATCGTCGTCGGTTAGAGATCAGTCTTATAATAATGACAATTCTGATGTCGAAATGACGGATGTGAACGATCAAGTCGATTTGAAGTGAGTTTTTTTGTGTTTTGGTCGATAAGTTTGTGGAAGGGTAAGATAGGATAGTGCAGGATGGGTTACTGTATGATAGGGTAAGTTAGGGTAAATTGGGTACTGGAATTGAGGTAGGATAAAATAGGGTATGGTGGGCCCAGTATGATTATGTATGTTAAGGTAGAGGGAGGCAAGGCAGGGTACATTAGGTTGAGATAGGATAGGGTACTGACAGATTACTATATGATAGGGTAAGTTACGGTAGGGTAGGGCAATAAATTTAATGTGGGATGAGTTACTGTATGATAGGTTAAGTTACAGTTGGGTATTGCAAGACGGGGCGGGGCGGACCTGGTAGGTCTACTGTAGAGAGAGGTGCTTTATTGTAGAGTAGGATAGGGTAGGTTTTTTTGTATTTTAGGGAAAGACAAGGTACTTTAAAATAGAATAAGGTGGGGTACGGGATGGTAAGACAGGATAGAGTACTGTAGGGCATGATAAGATACTTTAAGGTAGAACAGGGTACTGCAAGGCAGAGTACAGTATTGTAGAATAGGGTAAGGTTAAGTAAGGTACCGTAGGTTACGATAGGTAAGTGTAGGCTACGGTAAGGCGGTGTGTAGTAAGGTAGAATTAGAAGTTCGACTTCAATCTTGAAACATGGCCTACATTTAAATTTTTAGCTTATTTGAAGATTTGAACTCAAAAAAATTAAATTTCAAACTTTTCAGTCCGGACCGTCCCTCTTCGAACCAAGAAAACGATGTGGCTGACCAAATGGATACGATTCGTATCAGCTCGCCGTTAAACCAGCAGTAACCACTAACACAACTCTTGCCCTATTTATTTGGAGAAAAACCTCACCAATCTCCACGAACATTCCATTTCAGCGACGGGTTTCATTAACATAGTATTTCAAGTAGAATTTTAAAAATTTTTATTTTTCAATTTTTTATACGTTAAGGTTTGTCTCAAAGCTTCAGAAAATTTTTTTAACGTTACTTTATGTATAATACTGGTGCAACTACCAGTGCCAAATTTGATATTATTTTGCCGATTTGGTTCCTTTTGAGACAAACTAACGTAAATTCTGTATAACTTTGTAAATTTCAAAACGATTATAACGGGCCAAACTACAATGAATATGAATAAAATTGTGACAAAGTATGTTGATGTTGAACTCTTATACATATGTTGTATTCATTTTGATTTTTTATAGTTTTTGTTTGTTGAAGTTATATGATGTTATAGAATTTATATCGTGTGGGTACAAACGTTTTACGTTGTAATAGGTATAATTGTAGTAATTGTATCATTAACATTAATAATGCACTATAATGTCTTTCTTTATTAATTGAGTGAAAAAGTACAACTTGTTTATCAAAAATGACAAAATGTGAGGTGGAGACCCGTAGTAATGCTGTGAAAACAATAATAAGGTAATAGAAGTAAGTAGTTCTTTAGTAGACTAGACTTTATCAATTTAGTGGACTAGAAACTGGACTAGGAGTTTAGGTAATGAAAAATAGGAAAACAGTGGGTTGGGTTACTGTAATTTATATAAAAACACTTTTCAAAAATTATTGTGTTTCTGTACTGAATTAGTACTATTAATGTATAAATTTTGTCTTTTTTGAGAATTTTGACTTTTGGTACTATATAGTATCGTACTATAAAATTGTATTTTTTTGTGCTGTTGCAGTACTAAAGCATAAAAAACAGTTTTTTAAAACTATGGTATACTATCAGTACTGATCTTACATATAGTACTATATAGTACTATATGTAAGATCATATAGTACTATATAGTACTATATGCAGTGCCCTCTAGTACATAGATGTAACACTTGTAAGTAGTACCTATAGAAACTACAGTACTAAAGTTAGTTATCATAGTACCTACAATTCTGAAATTAGTGCTCATAATATGTAACGTACAACTTGGTACTCATTGTACCTACAGTACTATATACTACAAAAATAGCGATTTGGCTTCTCCAAAGTCATACTGTACCCACAGTAACCCGAACCCACCGTTTTCAGTCCAAATACTCAAATAAAGAGGAAAATAGTGAAAGAAACATGAAAGAGCATGTCAACTATTACAAACAACCGATCACACTTTGTTTCTATACAATATGCAAGTGGCAACCGGCTCAACAACGTCTCTAATCAACAATTGGTGGTGGGGGGGGGGAGGTGTATATAACGTTCGAAATGGCAGAAGGTTGTGCTTTCAAGTACGTTATAGCGATGTATCATCGTCGGGCGAAGCCAACGTACAAACCGCGTCAGGGTCCGAGCTCTGGGTGGGCTCTCGTGACGTGGAACGATACAAGGAACGACGATCACCGGCCGAGCCAGCTGGACTCAGTTCACTCGGTAGTACACTCATCGGCATGAACTTGGGATTCAGATCGGGTGGTGATAACGAGGTCTCCGGTAGTAATGGCATTCGGTCTTCACTTTGGGCTGAGAGGGTGTTGGGGCGCTGTAATCTTGAGGTTACTGTAATTTCTAAAGTGGGGTGAGGTGTTGGAGGGTAAGGTGAGGTAAAGTAAGGTATAGTAGGAAACTGGTTTTGGTAGTGTAACATAAGGGCTTAGAAAGATTACGGTAGGCATGGTAGAGCGAGGTAGGGTCATGAAAGCGTAGATTAGGGTAGTAAGGTACTGTAAGCTGAGGAATGCAAATGGATGCTGCAAGATGTGTAGGACAAGGTAGGGTAGCGTAGGGTAGGGTAGAATAGAATAGGGTAGGGTAAGGAAGGGTAGGGTAGGGTAGGGTAAAATAGAATAGGGTAGGGTAGAGTACCTAAGGTGTGGTAGTCCTTACCTGTGTGCAATTCCCAACCTTTCCCAAATGACTTCGGCTAGTCGAATTCTGGTCCAAGTCACCGTTCCGTGACGTCGGCCCAGAGAGAGATGAAGTCGCACCACTTCGCTCATTGAGGTCTATTGTCAGGGCGTTTAGATGGGAACTGCCCGCTGAAAATGGGTGAACTGTACCTTTTTTTAAATACAAGGTAAAATAAAATGGAAGTTTTAAATTTTTTTTAAAATAAGATTTTTTACTTACCACTACTACTGGCAGCCGTACTGAGAGCGCCGGAGAGCCGAAGTAGTCGAATGATTTCCTCGAAATCCGTGTTCATCTTGTTTTGCATTTGCGATAAATGCCTGAAAGTTGAAAAAAAAATAAAAAAAATTAGAAGTACCCTCCCTTTTCACTGAAATATTTTTTTCAAAAAAGTTCAATTTTTGATACATATATTACTTTATAGTACTATGACATACATATAGTACTGTATAGTACAATGACTTACAAATAATACTACATAGTACTATGACTTAAATATAGTACTATTTAGTACTATGACTTACATATAGTACTATTAAGTAGTATGACTTACATATAGTACTATTTAGTACTATGACTTACATATAGTACTATTAAGTAGTGTGACTTACATATAGTACTATTTAGTACTATGACTTACATATAGTACTATTAAGTAGTGTGACTTACATATAGTACTATTTAGTACTATGACTTACATATAGTACTATTAAGTAGTATGACTTACATATAGTACTCTATAGTATTATAACTTAAATATAGTAGTCTACAGTACTATGAGATACATATAGTACTGTATAGTACTATGAATTACACATAGTACTATGTAGTACTATGACTTACATATAGCACTATATAGTACTATGAGTTACATATAGTGCTCTATAGTACTATGAGTTACATATAGTGCTCTATAGTGCTATGATTTACATATAGTACTATATGTAAATAAAAAAGGCTTACCCCTCAATGTTGTCCAGCCGTTGACTGAGGAAGTTGTATCGACTGTCATCGATCTCTCGAGCGAAGGTCACTGCTCGATGTTGCCCTGAAATGATAAAACAAGTTAGTAAAATACGGAGTAGTAATCATAGCTTGGATTTTAAGAAACGATAAATCTTATAGACAACCTCAAGTCAGACCTAACAATCAAAAAGAATAACAAAATTCTTACAAAAAATTTAGCTAAAAATAGTGGAAAAACCACGAAAATTGGTCAGAAAAATTAAAAAATTTTTTAATGTCCAAGCCTAAAAATTTCAAAAACTAGCCAAAAAAACTTTAGCAACTATAAAAAAGCCTGTTAGTATCTCCTCTTCACAAAACATAAATTTACATTTTTCGCTACTAGGCGTGGGGGAAAGGCGAGGATGCGGCCGATCCGTCCGAAGTTGCAGGCTTTGTGGCCTCGAATCCAGCACATCAGCATCGACCAGTAAAAGCGGTTCCGTTTCGCCAAAGCTACGGGAATCGGCGGAGGTACGTTGAGTTACTGGGGGATGACCTGGAGGGAGAAAAAATGTCAGTGTGGGTAGTACGAGTGCTGTTAGTACAGTAGGAAAAAGTGCACATGAGGTGAAGTAGTCACAGCACGTTAAGATAAAGAAAAACTGAGTAGAGTAAGATGTTCATGTAATACCATACTCAGAAAAGCTGAGTAGGGTAGGGTATGTATTATACATGAGTAGGGCAAGGGTGTTGAAAAGGTAAAGTAAGGGAAAGAAAGGGCAGGACTTAGGACATGAGGAAGGGGTCGGGCCTGGCCCAAATTTAACGCGGGCAGGCTTTGAGCAAAATTTTGATCGGTCCGGGCCCGACATTCCTCATGTCTAGTAGGGCTAGGTCCTAGATCTAAGACCGGGGCAAGGGCTTTGGGCTAGGGCTCTGGGCTAGGGCTCTGGACTTGGGCTAGGGCTTTGGGCTAGGGCTCTGGGCTAGGGCTCTGGACTTGGGCTAGGGCTTTGGGCTAAAGCTTGTGCAGGGCTAGGTAGTGTAGTAAAGCATATTTACTATCCACAGACAATATTAAAGCACATTGTACATAACAAACATTAAACGTACCATAACAACATATAAAATGTCACAGTATATACTATTATACCTACATATAACAGTACGCTACTCACAAAAAATTGCAAAAACCAAAAACGTACAACAAGATATTTTTTTTCTACTCCATGCACAGTACAGCTAGTACTAACACAGTACCCAAAATTTAATTTATTTCTACTACAATATGTTTTACAAGACGTAAGTTACCTTTAGCTAATAGTAAGAGAAGACAACACCCTATGAATCACTATCGATATCAAAATACAAAACAAATTATACCCCAAACGTGCCAAATATTAACGAATGTGAGTGTAATAACCACACTACAATGAGGAAAACGTACCATTATTAGTCTTGGGGCTATTGGGGTTGTTGTTATTCTCAAAACTAAGCTGGTTTAGGCTTCGTTTCACTCGTTCCAACGTGTTATCTTCAAAACAAACGGTTAGGAATGACAGAAGGTTAAAAAGCTACTGTATTTTGGGTTTTTGCGGTAAACACACGCATTAGATTACTGTATTTTAGACTGAAAATAAGTTTTAGGTTATTATACGGCTATTGGTAGTTATTGTCTACTTTACTTCGCCCTACCCTACCCTACCCTACCGTACCTTGCCGTACCTTACGGTGCCCTACTTTACCCTACCCTACCCTATCCTACCCTACCCTACCCTACTCTAACCTACCCTGCCCTACCCTAAATTATCTTACAGTACACTTAACTTAGTTTACAGAACCTTACTCTGCCCTACTATACACTTTCCTGACCCTACCGTACTCTGCCGTGCCTACCCTACTCAACTGTGCCTACCGTACTCTTCCTAAGCCCTTAAATTACCCTACAAAGACCAGTTCCCCACTAACCCTGATTACAGTACTAGACATCCTATCATAGACACTAAAAATTAAAAAAGTACAAAATGCATCTCCGCCTACCTGAACCCTTATCACTCTGCGGTGACGGTACATTCGTAGCCTCATTGACCATCTGAGGCTCATCTGCGTTCCTAAACTGACTACTGTAAGCCCTAACATCTTCACATTGATTCTCCCGATGTGACGACGACATCCGTAGCACTTTATGCCTTTGGCTAGCCATTCGTTTCCTGAACCCTCCACCTTCCTTCGAACTCAACCTGACGTCACGTAGGTTGTGTGTTATCACCAGTTTCTCACAAAAACTCTCCGCGAACTCGGGATACATCTCCAGAACGTCGAGTAGGTCGTCTCGGACGATTTTATGTAAATCACAGTAAGTTAGGGCTCGGACTGAGCATGAGGCTTTCCCTACGTCGTCGTAGTAGACTGGGTTTTCGCCAAAGACGTCGTCTTTTCCTGAAAATAAAAGTTGTGATAAGAATTCAGATGTTATGTTCGTACGTGTCTACCATACTTAACCTCAGCCCTAGCCCTAGTTTTTGCTCTTGCGCTAGCCCAGTGCCCTAGCCCAGAGCCCTAGCCCAGAGCCCTAGCCCAGAGCCCTAGTCCTGAGCCACAGCTTAGTGCCCTAGCCCAAGTCCTAGCATTAACTTTAGCCCTAGCCTAGAAACTAAAACGCAAAGCCCAGATCCCTATCTTTCACTTGCCCTAGCTTATATATGTTTCCGATCTTTGCCCTACTTTTAATATAATATTCTGCCCAACCAAAAAAAATCCCATAACTCTTTAAAAACCCAAGCCTACCCTTAAAAAACTACCTTTTCTTAAAAAAAATGCCCTGCCCTTAAAATATTTTTCCTTGCCAAACCATTTATAAATAGCCTTTGCTTCAAAAATGCCATAAACCCTTGCTTACCCTACCTTAACTCAAACCCCAACCTCCTCAAACCTAGCCTTATACATTACACAATGTAATACCTACCCAATATCCCAACGACTTGATCATGTTGATCTACAATCTCGACCGACCCTCGGGCAATAAAAAAGAGGCCAGTCAAGATGTCACCACGATGAACCAACGTATCCCCAGGCGGTGAGTGAGTGGTCCGAAACCTCAGTGATAACGCTCTCAGACAGCCGGGTGAGATGTCTTTGAAGGCGGGTGAACTGTTGAGCAGATTCCTATGTAAATGTAGGCATATGTCGGCTTGTAGACAGTCGGGGAAGCCTTTGAGCACCTGGAATGTCAACATAGGTAAAGTTATAGAAAATCGATATTGACATTTTGTCATTGAAAAAAACTTAATCAATATTGACATTTCGTTGTCGCAAAAAATGTAATCGATATTGACATTTCTTTACAAACATTGATAAAAACTCAAATTTTTTAAATTAAAAACTTTCAAAATTTAAAAAATTCAAAACTTCGTAATTTTAAAATTAAAAAAAAAAATTTTTGAATTAAAAAAATTTAAAAATCTACCCCAAACCCAAAAAATCAACCCACCGTGTTCATGTCAATACCATTGGTATAAGACCAAGCGTGCTGAAAGTACTCTTCCAACCGCTGCCTTAGGGGATTTGGCACTTGGTGAAACCTAATAAATTCTCGTAGCCTCGACAGCTCGGTATGATACCGTGCGGTACCACTGTACAGACGCTGAATAATAGCTGATACGTTACCGAACACAGAGGCGTACATGAGCGCTGAAAACGAATAATATATTATAAGGTCAATAAGTGGGTAGAAGAAGAGAAGAGAGAACAAAAGAGGAACTTTATGGTCAAAATTAGGTAAACTAAAACTGGCGGGTCAAAAAAGTTTTAAAAAACGTTTCCTTAGTTCAAAATTGAGCCACAAAATGCCTTGTTTAGTCCGAAAATCGACAAGAAAACGCTTTTTTAGCTTAAAAATGATTTAAAACACAGCTTGTTTAATTAAAAAATACCGAAAAACCGTCTTCGAGACTCAAAAAACTACATAAAACAAAGTTTTTTTGGTCAAAACTTCGCTAGAAAAGATGTTTATTACCAAAAAAGTACATAAATCAAGCTTTGTAGGCCAAAAAGTTTCAAAAAACAATTTTTTCAGGTTCAGAACTATCTACACCAAGTTCTTTTATAGGTCAAACAGTACTAAAAAAAGTTTCTAAGCTATATAAGTGTCTAAAACAACATTTTTTAGTTAAAAAGTACCTAAAAACCAATTTCTAAACCTACAAACTAACCCTAGCTCTAGCTCTTAGCTAAAAGCTTTAGCTCTGACTCTGGCTCTGGCTTTAGCTCTAGCTCTAGCTCTGACTCTGACTCTGACTCTGGCTCTAGCTCTAGCTCTAGCTCTAGCTCTAGCTCTAGCTCTAGCTCTAGCTTTAGCTCTAGCTCTAGCTCGCACACAAGTCTCATTTGCTCAAAAAATCTCTAGAAAACCCCCTAAAACAAAAAACCACTTACATCCAACAATCATCATAACAATAGTGAAGATTTTCTCGGCGTCGGTCGTGGCCGAAACATTGCCAAAACCGATTGAGGTAATAGTCGACAGTGTAAAGTAAAGCGCCGTCACGTAACGCGAATGTAGAGACGGTCCACCCGTTGGCATTGTGCCGTTCCTCGATATATACGGTTCATTGAGGTTTTTTGCTAAAAAAATAAAAAATTTAAAAAAATTTAATTATCCACCCCTTTAAAAAATATTTTTTGTGTAGAAACATAAAATGAGACCTTCCTTTTTCAATTCCAATCTAATAATTTCTTTGAAAACTTAAAAAAAAATTACCCCGCCCACCCACGCCTACCCAAACAAAAATTTTTTTTTAAAAAAAAGTTTTAACTGACTTCGTTTATTAAAAAACTTGTCTGAAAAATTATTTTTTAACCTCCTCCCTCCCCCTAAAAATTTACCCCGCCCAAAAATTTTTTTCTCTTAACTTACCAAGTTGATGTAGCCATGTGATTTCTTTGTGTGGCAGTTCATGACTGCCGATGGCGTACCATATGCAGGCCAGCCAATGGGCAATCAAAGCGAATGTTGACATGAGTAACATGAGTACGGCCGCGCCGTACTCCGAATACCGATCCAACTTTCGTGCTACTCGTACTAACCTCAGTAATCGTGCTGCTTTTAGTAACCCGATTAGTGTTGTTGTCTGAAAAAGTTGGGTTTAGGCTTAGGCTTATATTCTTAGGCTTCTAGGTTTTATTTCTGAACTTACATTGGCTTCATCACTACTAGCCAACAGCAGATCGAAGGGAACGGCGGCGATCATGTCAATTATAAACCACCCGGTAAAGTAATGTTTGGCGATTTTGTGCGGATCCGACACCACCTCCTCGTTCTCGTTGACGTAGGTGGTGCGGAAGTTGATGATTATGTCCACGATGAACATGATATCTACGATAAGGTCGGCCAGGTCCAGCGTGCTTTCGAAGCGGCCCCTTCGTTGGTGGTCCTGGTTCTGAAATTTTGAAATTTTTTATTTTACCGTACCGTATAGTACCCTACTGTACCGTACCGTACCCTACCCTACCCTACCCTACCCTACCCTACCTTACTCTACCCTACCCTACCCTACCCTACCCTACCCTACCCTACCCTACTCTACCCTACCCTACCTTGCCGTACCTTACGGTACCCTACCATACCGTACCGTACCGTACCCTACCTTACCCTACCCTACCCTATCCTACCTAACTCTACAGTAACTCAATCTACCGAAACTCGCTCTATTCTACCCTACCCTATCTTAGCTTACTGTAACATACTCTACCGTAACTTACTCTACCATAATCTATTATAAAATTATAAAAACGCAAAAGTTTCCTTGAACGTATTTTACCCACCTCTTTGAGCAGAAACACGGCCACATACGGCGTGAAGATGGCGGTATAGATGACCAGGAGCAATATGATCCAGTCCCATACCGCTTTGAAGGGGCTATAATGTACAATCGTGCAATGGTGTATTCGCGCCTGCTGTAGCTTGTACTCGGGCAGTACATCCGCACCCAACGATAAAACCTAAAAAGGGCATGGTAATTTGAAAATTAGTAATTGGGGGGTCAGAAGAGAGTAGAAGTGGGTACTTCTTAGACTGGTGTGGGCGTCGCTAAGGGTTTTTAATCAAAAAATTATAAATTTTCAAAAAAATACATTGTTAAAAGAGGGTGGGGTATAAAAAATTTTTTTTGATAGGGGGGTAGTCAAAAAAATTTTTTAAAAATTTTTTAAAAATGTGATTCGAAAAGGATAAAACACAAAGAAAAATTTTTTGCAGCGGGCGTGGTAAAGCAGCTAATAAAAAAAATTTTAGAAAAGGTCATCCGTTGCCCTAGCGACGCCCAAAGACAGAAGTTGTGTTAGTATGAAGAGTAATAATCATCCATGTTTAGTCACTGGTTCACTATATCTAAGAAGCTGTACAGATGTTGTACTAGACTCTATGAACTTTAAAAATTCTGAGTTTCTATCACCTTTTAACCTTTACATTATTTTTAGTATTCTAGTTTGTATCAAGTATTAGGTGCCGACATAAAGAACCCGCCATACTTTTCCTGTAGTTTCTTGTAAAAAATGGCGGATTCTTTATGTCAACGCCTGATATTTTAGATTTAAGGTTTGTAAGATAAGTTTTAAGCTTTTATGGCTTATAAAATTGAGTTACTAGGCTTAAAAACACCTTTTTTCTTCTAATGTAAGTTCAGTAAGAATCAAAAAATGCCATTTTCAAGCTAATACCTTCATAAAGAAACTACTTTTTCTACTATAACATGAAGGAAAAGCTAGAAAAACCTTGTTTTAATGTCAAAACAGTTGAAAGAAAGTTTGTTTTAGTACTATTAGGTTGAACCAAAAGTAGTAGGACACTCTTTTGTTGAACAATAAATGAAAAGTGTCCCGCTACTTCTGGTTCAGCTTAATAAAAAGCTTTAAAAAACATTGTTTTATCAAATTTTATACCATAAAGTATCTAAAAAACTAAAAGACAATCATTTTTCTTTTACTTTATGTTACGTATAAGCCAACAAAATATAATTTCCTAACCAAGTTTTATCAGATTTCCTACTATAACTTGTCTAACACACCAAAAAAGACCTTGCTCTACTTGTAAGTTTCAAAAAAACTTAATAACTGTCATAATCAAGCCAATATTATCATATTATCATCAAATCCTCGACGGAAACTTACGTTGACGGACCCGTTTTGAAAGACATGCATCGCCTTTCCACGCTGTCGACGTGGAATTTTGGCAACAATGTACACTTGACAAAAAGTTTGGATTAACCGGCATCACCCCGTGGCATTATCTTTTAGTACGAGACCGTTACTTTGCGCTGCTCATCTTTCGCTATTTTACCGGATTTTGACTGAATTTTTTAGAATTACGGTTTGGTTACGGTATATACTCGATGGAACGAAAGGTTTAGGTATTGATATATGTGGGTATGGACATTGAAAAGGTGCTAAGATGAAAAACTAGACATATAGATAGAACTAGACAGGTACATATAAACAATTAAGTTTTAATGCCAAGTGTAAAAGTATTACGTGTACAATATGAAAGCCTTATCAGTATTATACTATTTATACTACAAGGTGCGCGAAAAGTTCTGTTACACGGATATTTAGTTTGTAAACCCCAAAAAGACTCATTAGTAGTACACTAAAAACTAAAATAGTACTATTAGATTGTTCAAAAAGTAATGAGCCACATATTAGTAATGGTACGCAAACTTTAATCTGATACTAAAAAGAAGATAATACAAGTAACGTAGTACTATGAAAAGTAAAAAAAACCTCCAAAAAGTGTTGTAGGTACTACAATAAATTTAATTTGTCGGTGGTACTACTACCAAACTCAAGCCAAACCCTAGCTCTACCGTAGCCCTACTCAAGCTTTCCTCAAGCTCTATCCTAGCTCAATTCTAGCTCAGCCATAGCCCTACCCTACTCCTACACTATTCCTACCCTAGCCCTACCCTAGCCAAACCCCAGCCCTAGCCCACGCCCTAGCCCCAAATTTTAAAATTAAAAACCCAAATTCCAAAATGACTGTTTCAGTTATATTACCCATTATTTTGGCGCGCGGCCCATTTTGGCAAAATTAAAATTAACTTTAATGCGATTATGCCCCGAGGGTTTTTCAACAATTTTTTTAAACGCAAGATTTATTCCGTCTTAAGAAAATTATTGCCATTTTAAAATTTATTTGTAAAGAAAGTGTTTGCCATTTTATGTTTTATAAAGAAAGTTTTTGCTATTTTATGTTTTGTAAAGAAAGTTCTTGCCACTTTATGTTTTGTAAAGAAAGTTCTTGCCATTTTATGTTTTGTAAAGAAGGTTCTTGCAATTTCACCCGTTGTAAAGAAAGTTCTTGTCATTTTGTGTTTTGTAAAGAAAGTTCTTGCCATTTTAAGTTGTGTAAAGCAATTTCCCGTTATTTTGTTAAGCCTGACCTAGCTATTTTACAGCCAGATTAAACCACCGCTTAAAACATTTTTACAGCCTGATTTGAACAGGCCTGCACAATAATAACACCCTTACCCTCCATTCCAAAACCCTTACCCTACATTACAACTCTCTATAGCTCAAAAAATCCGCTCAGCGCCTCAAAATCTTTCGTCAGGAAAAAGTTATTGCCAAATCAAAAAGACTATATTAATGTATTTTTCGGCCGCGAATTTCCCAGCCTTTCCCCGCTCCTCGCCCGAGTCATGACGTCCCGAGGCAAAAAAAACGGGAATTATAAATCATTGCCGGATTCGTGCTTTTCGGCCGCGCGAGACAACCCCCCCTTTCGGTTTTACGAACCCGATGAGGAAAAAAGCACATTATTATAAAGTTTGAGTCTATAAAAATGATGATGAAGTGGCTTCGCATAGAACGTTAGTGCCTGTTTGAGGACATTAAAACACTCGTTTGTTTAGCGGATCTTTGAACGAAAAGAAATTTTATCAAAATTTAAAAAGAAATTTATTGGCTTTGGTCTGAGACCTAAATAAAGCCTTAGCTTTAGTCTAATCTTTACACATAGGCTTAGACTTAGCATTAGCCTTAACTCAAACCCTGGTTTTAGCCTGAGCTTCAGCCTAAATTTGTATTTGTTTCAGCCTGAGACTAAACCTGAGCCTGAGCCTGCGCCTAAGGTAGAGCCAAAGCCTAAGCCTGGGCCTAAGCCTGAGCCTGAGCCTGAGCCTGAGCTTGAGCCTAAGGTAGAGCTAAAGCCTAAGCTTGAGCCTGAGCCTGAGATTGAGCTTGAGCCTGAGCCTGAGCCTGAGCCTGAGCCTGAGCTTGAGCCTGAGCCTGAGCCTGAGCCTAAGCCTAAGCCTAAACATGCCAAGCTGAGCTAAGCCAATTCTTAGTTTTTGCCTTAGTCTTAGCCTTAGCTCTAATGTTTTAAACTTATGCCTAGGCTAATCCCAAGCCTAAACGTTAGCCCGCTTTATAATATAAGCCCCCAACGCCATAAACCTAATTTTCAGTAATATTCCCTAAAATCTTTAACCCAAACAAAAATCTTCAATATTCATTATTCTGAAGCCATGCCCAGCCCCCTAGACTATATTTTCTGGCACACTGCACTAAAACAAAGTTCAATGCCTGAGAAAGAGTTTTGGGAAACATGAACAATGTTCACCAAGTTTGCAAACAAAAAGTCAAAAAGGCTTGGGACGACGGTAAAATATTTTATATTAAATATAAATTATAAGCCTAGTTTAAGCCTATCATACAGTTTAAAAAATTTTAGGCTTAATGTTTCTATTGTAAAAGTAGTAAGGATAAGATTCGTTCAAGCCTAATATAAATCTTACAAAAAGATCATATATAAGCCTAATGAAACCTTTTAAAACCTATAGATATAAGCCTTAAGTTTAGTATAAGACTTAAAATTATAGGCTTTATAAAACCAGCAAATATAAACCTATATTAAGCTTAAAAAAGATATCAAAATGTCAAAAACAAGCCTAATAAAACCTTTACAAAAACTGCAGATATAAGTCTAACATAAGCCTAAAAATGCCGTCTTAGATCCTATAAACCATAATATCAACTAAATTTTTTTTCACCCAATACAAAAACGATTATGACATAATTAATCCACCATTTTCTCATCAACCCTTCCAAACGTATGTTATATTCACTGAAGTTCTAATGAGAGACTAAATGTAAAGAAAATACTAAAAAATATCGTCATTTGGAACGTAGCATGTTGTGTTAGAAAAAAATGTCAAAACTTTAATAAAAGAGAGAATTTTCTTTACAAAACATAAAATGGCAAGAACTTTGTTTACAAAACAAAAAATGGCAAGAACTTTCTTTACAAGTTATAAAATGGCAAGAACATCTTTAACAAAGTTTAAAATGGCAAGAACGTTTTTTACAAAACATAAAATAGCAATAGCTTTCTTTACAAATCCAAAAATGGAAAGAACTTTCTTTACTAGTCATAAAATGGCAAGAACTTTGTTTACAAAACAAAAAATGGCAAGAACTTTCTTTACAAGTTATAAAATGGCAAGAACATCTTTAACAAAGTTTAAAATGGCAAGAACGTTTTTTACAAAACATAAAATAGCAATAGCTTTCTTTACAAATCCAAAAATGGAAAGAACTTTCTTTACTAGTCATAAAATGGCAAGAACTTTGTTTACAAAACAACAAATGGCAAGAACTTTCTTTACGAAACAAAAAAGTAAAAAATTTTCTGTTTTAACCTATTCAGCTCTAACCCACCCTAAAAATCATTTTTTATGTCCGCTACTCCTTTTTCTACCCGACCCTGCCCGCCTACAGAACAACATTTAACCTTACCTTCCCCCCTTTACCTACAAAACATCTTTTGACTCTACCCCAATTTCATAAATCGGTTTTTTTTAACCTTACCCTGCTTTCCTTTCTAAGCAGTTTTTTACCCTACCCTGCCTTGTTTACAAAAACCGCCTTTCACCCATACCCCACCTTGTTTTCAAAAACCGCCTTTCACCCCTACCCTACTTTATTTTCAAAAACCGCCTTTCAACCCTACCCTACTTTATTTTCAAAAACCGCCTTTCACTTTACCATATCATCAAGACGGCCTTCGACCCTACTCTACCTCCAAACCGGCGCCATTATTTACCCCCAAACGCATAATATACCATTCGAACTAATGAAAAGTTGGCTTGAAAAGCAGCCTTCTGGAAGTGGCATTAAGTGGAACGCTTATATATATACACATACTATATACACATACTAGATCCCAGCGTTTGTTTTCCTCAAGTTGGCTGCCGAGGAATGCGCGAAAATAAGGCCGAAAACGAAATTCTTTTGATTGACTGTTATACATTCATTGTAAAGAGTTTTAGCACAGTTGCACGCGAACACCCCCCGGCCAAATGAGATAAAAAGTTTTTCGCGGTGAATAGGATGAAGTTTTGGGCATTCACAAGAATGTGATATTATTTTACTGAAGGGCCATAAGTGGTCGAGTTGAAGGAAGGAGAAAGACTTTCGCTTTGAGAGGTAAATATAATAATAAAGGTAAAAATTCAACAATATCCCCAAAGAGAAGAGGATATTGTTGTAGATTAAAATTCAAATTTAAGTTAGGGTAGAAAAATGTAAAACGTAGATATATTTAAAGTAAAGTACAGAAATGTGAAACGTGGGTACCAGCAGGGCCGGGCGCGAGGGGGGGGACGGGGGGGAGGTACCCCCCCCACCAGAAAAAAAATTTTCGAAAAATTTGAACGTGGTCCCCCCCCCCTGTGGATTTTTTGGAAAAAAAATTTTCGCAAAAAATCGGCACAGGTAGCTAGCTAGTAGATTTTTTGGACCCCTGCCCCCAGACCAAAAGTCCCCCCCCGGCCCTGGGTACCAGTAAACAGCCTAAGCTGAAGCCTAAGCTGAAGTCTAAGCTGAAGCCTAAGCTGAAGCCTAAGCTGAAGCCTAAGCTGAAGCCTAAGCTGAAGCCTAAGCTGAAGCCTAAGCTGAAGCCTAAGCTGAAGCCTAAGCTGAAGCCTAAGCTGAAGCCTAAGCTGAAGCCTAAGCTGAAGCCTAAGGTAAAGCCTAAGCTAAAGCCTAAGCTGAACCCTAAGCTGAACCTAAGCTGAAGCCTAAGCTGAAGCCTAAACTTAATTTCAAGCTTAAGCAAAAGTCCTTGCCTAACAAGCCCGAGTACCTTAAACCGTAGCTAAATTCTAAGCTTTATCTAAAGCCCAAGCCAAAAGCCTTTTAACCCTAAGGCTAATCCATTTTTTAGAAACAACTCTTTCAACCGTATTTTACATATGTCAGTCAATTGTCCCCTCTTTTCGGAAATAATTTTCATTTCAATGTCAAAAATTCATGAGTAAACGTTTTTGTGCATAATTAATGAAGTGTGACCATTTTGGGGTAAAATTAACTTTTTAGTCGAAACAAAAAAGTAAAAAAGTTCAGAAGTAAAAATAGATTTGAGTTTTTGGAAATGTGTTCCATTTATAGGCTTTTTCGACAAACGTCAACTTATCTTTTGATGACTTTGAAGAAATTTCAAAACTTTAGGTTTTTGTGAGTTAAAATTTTATGAAAAGGTCAATTTTTTCTAGGAGGAGGTTTTAGACTTCTAGACCCGGCTCTGGCTCCGGGTTTGGCCATGGCTGTGAGCGTGCCTATGGCTGTGGCGAGGGCCAAAGCTAGTAGAACCTTTAACCATTATGAAAAACATAAAATAGTAAATTTCAAAAAAAATTTTATTTTTAAAAGTTTAAAATTTAAGATTTTCAAAAATTTTAATAATTTTTAAATTTTGTCAACTTCAAATTTCAAAATTAAAAAAAAATATTAATAAAAATTTATGACTCAAAGAACGCCCATCCAAAAACGACCAACCCCAATTTTTTTTTCTTCTCTATCCCACCCAGAACAGCATAAAGAATAAAGATATAGACGAAAATAACCGGCCATATACAAATTTTCACAAGAAACAAGCGGATCATAAAAAGAGACCTCAAAAGTTCGTGGAAAGACGACCCCACGCCCGGTCCTCGGGGATGGAGCCGCGAAAAAGGTCATAGCACCCGTCGTCCCACAATCCCCCCCCCCTCCCCCCGCCGGCATAAAAGTGGCATTCAAAAAACAAGCACTTGCGCGGGTTTAGCGAGCTCGCTTATTCCTAATGCCCGCCACAAATTTCCGGCCGCTTTTCGAGTCATAATGGAAATTTTAAAGCGGTTTTGGGATTTAGAAAGGGGTTTTAATGATGATTTTGAAAAAACGCAGAAACTTTGTTTACAAATCACAAAATTGCAAAAACTTACAGACCATAAACTGGCAAGAACTTTCTTTACAAAACAAAAAATAGCAATAACTTTCTTTACAAAAAATTGCAAGAATTTCCTTTACAAGTCATAAAATAGCAAGAACTTTCTTTACAAAACATAAAATTGCAAGAACTTTCTTTAAAAAACAAAGAATGGCAGAAACTTTCTTTACAAAACAAAAAATAGTAAGAACTTTCATTAATAAAGGTTTTGTCATACTTAAAATGACAAAACCTTTATTTACAAGCCATAAAATTGCAAGAACTTTCTTTACAAAGCAAAAAATGGCAAGAACTTTCGGCGCTCAAGGAGTATAAGACCCACAAATGCGAAAAATAAGACCCAACCAATCCTCGAAGTATAGGACCCAACCCATTTTTATTCAAATTTAAAAAATAGCGAAAAATCTTTTGGAACATGAACTTTCGAATATATCGGTGACAAAATTTGGTCATTTTGAAAAAGAATCATTCGGGTCAAAAACTTTTCTGGAGAGAGGTCGGTTTCAAAAATGCGGGACGAGACTACCATGCTGCACGATACTAGGTAAAAAGTGATATGTAAGTATGTTTTCTAGTGTGGTTTTGATTATAAAAATTGTATTTTGATATGGTGATGGTCTAAAATTATTTTTAAAAGCGGAATTTTTTGAAATTTTTTACTACTATAAAGGGATGGTGAATTTTAAAATATTTTATTTTGTATTTAGTAAATTTGCCATTTTTTAGTTTTAAAACCTGGGTCTTTAACTTGAAGACCCGGACCTTTAACCTGAAGACCCGGACCTTTAACCTGAAGACCCGGACCTTTAACTTGAAGACCCGGACCTTTAACTTGAGGACCCGGACCTTTAACCTGAAGACCCGGACCTTTAACTTGAGGACCCGGTCCTTTAACTTGAAGACCCGGACCTTTAACTTGAGGACCCGGACCTTTAACTTGAAGATCCGACCTTTAACCTGAAGACCCGGACCTTTAACCTGAAGACCCGGACCTTTAACTTGAAGACCCGGACCTTCAACCTGAAGACCCGGACCTTTAACTTGAGGACCCGGACCTTTAACCTGAAGACCCGGACCTTTAACTTGAGGACCCGGACCTTTAACTTGAAGACCCGGACCTTTAACTTGAGGACCCGGACCTTTAACTTGAAGACCCGGACCTTTAACTTGAAGACCCGGACCTTTAACTTGAAGACCCGGACCTTTAACTTGAGGACCCGGACCTTTAACTTGAAGACCCGGACCTTTAACTTGAAGACCCGGACCTTTAACTTGAAGACCCGGACCTTTAACTTGAAGACCCGGACCTTTAACTTGAAGACCCGGACCTTTAACTTGAGGACCCGGACCTTTAACTTGAAGACCCGGACCTTTAACTTGAAGACCCGGACCTTTAACTTGAGGACCCGGACCTTTAACTTGAAGACCCGGACCTTTAACTTGAAGACCCGGACCTTTAACTTGAAGACCCGGACCTTTAACTTGAAGACCCGGACCTTTAACTTGAAGACCCGGACCTTTAACTTGAGGACCCGGACCTTTAACTTGAAGATCCGGACCTTTAACTTGAAGACCCGGACCTTTAACTTGAAGACCCGGACCTTTAACTTGAAGACCCGGACCTTTAACTTGAAGACCCGGACCTTTAACTTGAGGACCCGGACCTTTAACTTGAAGATCCGGACCTTTAACTTGAAGACCCGGACCTTTAACTTGAAGACCCGGACCTTTAACTTGAAGACCCGGACCTTTAACTTGAGGACCCGGACCTTTAACTTGAAGACCCGGACCTTTAACTTGAAGACCCGGACCTTTAACTTGAAGACCCGGACCTTTAACTTGAAGACCCGGACCTTTAACTTGAAGACCCGGACCTTTAACTTGAAGACCCGGACCTTTAACTTGAAGACCCGGACCTTTAACTTGAAGACCCGGACCTTTAACTTGAAGACCCGGACCTTTAACTTGAAGACCCGGACCTTTAACTTTAGTCCCAAAAACTTCATCTTGGTGACACCGACCGACCGCAACATAAAAATGCATATTAAAAATGCATTTTTATGTTAGAAAACGGTTTGGGTCTTATACTTCTAGGTAGGGTCTTGTAATTCCATGGGTCCTATACTTCATGAGCCCCGAACTTTCTTTACAAGTTGTAAAAATTCCACTTTTCAGTTGTGGTCGACTAAAATTCACCGCCAATCCATCAACAACCCAACAAAACAAATACATATTTTGCAAAAAAAAGTCCAACTCCTTCTTTGCCTTTTTGAAAAAAAAAAGATTAAATCAGTATCAAAGAACATGATGTTTTCTGGCCAAAAGCGCAGACAAAAAAACTTTAACATATACTTATTTTAGTGTGACCATTTTATGCCTTAGCAATAGCACCAATTCTAGCTCTAGCTCTAGCCTCTATCTCTAGCTCTAGCCTTTAGCTCTAGCTCTAGCTCTGCCTCTAGCTCTAGAACTAGTTCTGATCCTATTTATAGCCACTCCCAAACGCAGTCTTTGATTTTCCATAGCTTTTACCCTGTCTTACTGTAACCCTGTCCTAGCCATACCATCGTTTAGTTCATCTCACTTTAACCCTTGCTTTAGACCTACCTTAACCTTACCAAAGGCCTACACTAATCTTGTCAAAGCCAAAAAAAATTTTTCAATCGACTTTTTTCTTAGTCTTAACTTTAGTTTAGCCTTAGCTTTAGTCTTAGTCTTAACTCAAACTTCCTCCCTATTAAACAACAAACATTTCGTTTTTTTCCTTTAAAAAAATTGAGAAAATTCAGTAGGAATGCCCAAGTGAAGATGTGATTGCACTTGGAACTCGGACGTTAATAAGATAAGCGCGCGCTCAAGAAAGTCTTTGTGGATTTATAAGACACTCAAAACGAGAAGACCAAATTTCGGTTTTATTTAAATTTTTCGGATTTTTAAAAAATTTTAAAAAATTGTAATCCTCACACTTTTAAACAGGCCTAGTCTTTTTTTTGACCCTGCCCGACCCGGGAAGGCTTACTGAGCCTCTTTTTCAAAGCCAGTACTGCTTGATATATAACAGTAAAAAAAGAAAGTGTGTTATGCTATGGCCAAACAGAAAAACACCATACTGATAATAAACCGTACAACTTAGACCCAATACTAAGCTGTACGAAGCTTAGTACTAATTGGCAAAACCTGCTCTTCAAAGGAAGTTCTAATCCTTTCGTAGAGACTTTCATAGTAAGGTTGTTAAGACTACCATACAAATTAAAATAAGAATTGTAGTTAGACCGTACAGCGCAACCCTAGCCTTATCTTTGGCTTTGGCTTAACTTTAGCTTTAGCCGTTAAAAAGTCTAATAATTAGACCGTAAGGCGCAGAACACGATAGTTAGTCTTACTGTAATTAAAATATAAAAGTTACTATCCATCACAGCTTAAAAACGTCTGCCAATCTAGCCAGACAACTTACAATAAGACTGTTGACCCCACCATACCTCAAAACTCACCTTGCTAGGTTCATTAACCGTAAAACATTTGAAGCAGGCCATGTCAAACAGCACGCTTAGTCAACCGGTCTTCAGCATTTTCATCCGCCGTTTGTAAGCATCGCCGTCCTCAAGAACCCGCCCGTCAAACCGAAAACGATTCGAAACGAAATCGCGATGCCCGCAGGCCAAAGCGAATCCACACGATCCACACGCAAGACGTCCGGTCCGTTCGGAATTTATCGTCTCCGCCTAAACGGGTGGTGGGCGATTGCAGTGAAGGGAGCGATTGCATAAAATAGCACGATTAAGTGCGCCGCCAAATTTATACGTTTGTTTACCCGCGATGGTCACAGAACGGTCAATTCGAGTATTCATAGGAAAAAGAAAACGGCGAAGAATTTGAGGAGAAATGTGGCCAGCACTCTGGGAATTTATACATCAGACCACCAAAATATGGGTTAAGTAGCGCTAATATTAAGAAAGAAATTTAAATCGTCATTTAATTTGGTGCTCTAACTAATTTTAAAAAAAATTTATAAACGTAGAAAAACCTTGGCGTTAGCTTAAACTTCGACCTTATCGCCTAAGCCAAAACTAAAGCCCGACCCTAAGCATAAGACTAAAAGCCAAATCCTGACATTAGGCTTGTGCCTGAACTTGAGCCTAAACCTAAGCTTCAGCTGGAGCTTAAGTTTGAGCTCGAGCTTGAGCCTGAGCTTGAGCTTGAGCTTGAGCCTAAGCCTGAACCTAAGCCTAAGCTTAAGCCTAAGCCTAAGCCTAAGCCTAAGCTTGAGCCTGAGCGTGAGCGTGAGCTTAAGTCTGAAGATGAGCTAGCCTTAGCTTTAGCGTTATTTAAGCCTCATGCTAAACTTAATTTTGAAAATTAAAAACCGCTGCCATTTTTTTCCAAACCCGTAAATTTCCTAAAATCCGCCATTTTAAAAACAATCAAAACAGGGCGCTTTTGCTTAAATTTGCTGAAACACCACAACTTCCTTCCAATCCACATAAAGATCGTGACTTATTATGAGAATTGGCCTCAAATCTATGCCATAAATTACGCGGAACGACCACTAATTTCATTTCATATGCAGTGAAAAACCGGTTTTTCCAAAATTTTATGGTTTTGAAAACAAAAAAGAGTACGAAAAATTTACAGTTTGGTACTGGGGTAGTAATAAGTAAAGGTAAATGCTTAATACAGTATTAAAAGTTTAAAGCTAGACACTAAATCTTTACTAGGTTCAATACTGTAAAAGCTTACAATATAGTAAAGTTTTTTAAAAATACAAAATGCCAGTTATTTTGGAACAAAAACAAAAGCTAGAACGGCTAGCAAAAACCAAATTAGGTCAATTATGATGACAAAAATAAAAGCGGGAAGAAAAACTTTTTACCAAACCCTTTTAGGTCTAATGTTAAAAGTTTTCAATAGTATAAATAAACTAAAATAAAACTGACTATCCTTAAAGAAACCACTAACCCGTGGTTAACTTCAAGACCGTAAGTTTCGTTTGAAGCCGCCTTTAGCACATTAATTAATGTACAATATTGTCCCTTAATATTGTAATTTTGATTAACATTGTGATTATACAACTCGAAAATATAAAAATCTAGTCAGCAGGTATACTACAACATGTCTACAACTTGTTTTATGTGATTCTCAAGTTACTACAAATTCAAAACCGTTTTTCCTTTTAACTAAAACTACTTCTAAAGTTATTTTGATGCCTTAAATACCTTAACTGCTTATTATTCTATAAACTACCTAAACTGCTTATTATCAAACTTAATTAGTTACTATAATTATGTTATATTATTAAGCATGTTTTACTTTTTGTCAAAACCAATAACACTGAAAAAACAGTCCCCCCAATGATCAGAATTACAAAAAAGAACCTAAACAATAGTAGTTCATTCAAACCATGAATATTTGACAGACGGAAAAACGTTTCCTGACAGTCAGTGTTTGCATATTGTGGCATTAGCTGCCAAGGAGATGGTATTTTGTACACTTGAACAACAAACTAATTTGTCATTCGCTATTATATGCCCTTTTGAACTATTAAAAAATGCGTATTATAATTCCGGCTGCTCCGCCAACCTTTTGGAAAAAATTGCAAAATAGAATTTTGATATCTTTAAAAGGTAAGATTTAAAAACGTTAAAGTTTCTAGTTGACACTTATGGTATATTTTTAGGTACCCATCAAAACTCCAATAATGTGCTTGCAAAATCTTTGAAAAACGACATTGTACGACTATGAAAAAGAAGACTGATTTATACTACCTTCAAAATCTAAACAAATGTAAAACATTCCCAAAACGCTTACAGACTGTGGAATCGGGTCGCCGGACAAACTCGGAATGGCCATAGAGACCCGTCGCACGAACAACGACGCTTTTCGTCCGGCCGATAAATTCGAGTCAAACGACGAAATCGAGTTCAACGACCGCATGTTGTTCCTCAATTTCGTCAACGCATTTTGTTGTTGATCAGTAAGCGTCGATTCTTCGAAAGAAACCGTCGGCCGACTGCTTTTCAACGCCTTTCGACGGATTGAGCCCTGAATCGACAAGTGATGCTTGTCGACGCTCATCGGGCTATTAAGTGATGTAGCGTGTTGTAAAAGTGGTCGGTCGGAACCATAGCGGTTTTTCTTCAATATCCCATGAACGCTGTGTTCGGCTGGTGTTGATAGAAGTGAGGTTGTTTCGAGACTGTGTTCCGCCTCTTCATCTGAATGCCGTTGGTCGAGTCGCAGTAGTCGGTTCTTTTCGAAAAAATTGACGTCAAAGTTTGTTGCACGTGTGTTTAGCGACTGCAAAACAAAGGCAACATATAACTAGAATTTAGAGCTTTACGTACCAACTACGACCAAAATTTCTTTCGTTATACTTGGTATAGGACCAAAAGTTCCTCCACTATGCTTGCCAAAAAATAGCTCTACTTAGTAACCGCGAATTTGGACTACTCATTTCAGCTCATCAAAATGTAAAACTTCGTCGCAAAAATGTAAAAATTCATCAGAAAAATGTAAATGAAGCCAAATGTCGGGAAAAGTGTTCCCCAACGTGTTTATGGCCCAAAAGATAGCTCAAAACTGGGTTAAAGGCTTATTAAAACTGTGGAGAAAAACAATGCTCATCTTGAAAAAAGTGACTTACACGGGCCCGCGAAGCAAAGTTCTGAAGCGAGGTGTCCGCATTTCTATAGCGACTAGGTAGGCTATCAGCTGAAGTAGGGAACGTTGGAAGAGAGCATGTGCTGTTTGTATTGTTGTAGGTGGTATGGGGGATGATAGGGTTGTCAAACAAGCGAACGGCACTATTGTGCGTCGACTGGGGATTGTTTATGCATCGTTCCGGCTGATAATTGGTTCCGTCGTAATGGGAGGTGTAGTGCGAAGTGGACGGTAGACTGGCGTGCTCGCTGTGCACTCGGCTTTTGCCAAAACCGGTTGGGCCGCTAGCAGCTTCTTTTAGCTTTGTGGCGTCGGAATTGTGCAATGTGCTTGTAGAAGTTAATAGGTGAAATGACGTAGAATTAAGTGGTTGGTATGATGTCAAACCTTCACTTCTAACACAATCATCAGGCACATCTCTACTCATGGTATAGGCTTCATCCCTCAAACCACCGTCTTCTGGTGTAAATGTTTTACGTTCTATGCCCCATTTGCCGTTACTATAACAATCATGGTGTGTTCTTTTGCCAGAATTTTCATATTTTGGACATTCTTCTTCACCATAACGATTATGGGTATTCGATGCCGGTTCGCTTGCCGCAGGTGTATTTTGTGAAGGCAAAACACTTCCACACGCCGAAGGTTGACTACTTCTCCATGCCTGTCTTGGCTTAAAGAGAGGGTTCTCTGAATTGGTGTTAGCTCGAGATGAATGTTCCCAACCTATCTCGTCATAACCTCGCTCCTCCTCATCCTCCTCAAAGATCGGTTGTGCCCACAACTCACTGCGAATTTCGTTCAACCGCTTTTGTAGCCCATCCTGGTCCATACATAAAATGATTGGCAATAAATAAGCCAGATGAAAAGTCGGTCTTCTTTTCGCTTTAAAGGTGAAAAAGAAAACTGCGTAATTGGTGGGCTTCTCGTCTTGAACTTGTGGTAAATAGGGGTAGAAAAAGCCCAAATTTGCCGTAAAATTGTAGTGTGCCAAATAACACAAATTTGTAAATGGGCCGACGGCAAAATATGGTGCTTTTGTACGTGATGTGTAAATTATAGTAGGTACGTAAATGTGTTGTGACGTTGACGTGAAGTACTTTAGCAGTACAATATTCGGAGTGCAATATGTGAAGACGTACAAAAACTCGTCTGTCAAATTCGAAAAATTTCAAAATTTTCTCTTTTTGCCACTTTATACTTGTCTGTCTGCCGCGTGAACCGTTAACAATATGGTTGATAATTTGTAGTCAAAAACCAAACAAAGTATAGTAAACCAATGTTAGAACCAAAAAAAGGTTCTGTAGGTCTCGACTGCCAACTCCGCAGGTCCTGACTTCCAATATTTCTAATCTGACTTAAAAACCAAATTGCACTAAAACCAAACGGGTTTTGATGAGCGAGGGCATTGATATAACGCCTCTGGGAATGTTTTACAGATGTTTTTAAGTTCAAACAAAAAATTGTTTCAATAGTTGCTTTGAAATTGCGTTTAATGTTTGCTGACCTTATGGTATGCCAAATAAAAAATGCGTCTGTGATTTGTTGTCGTGCAAAATATAGGAGCATTAGTCTGACAATTGGGGTTTCTATTAATAAGTTGAGAAGGTTTCTATAATAAGCTTCAAAACGCTTTAGTAATAAGTTTTGAAAGCATAGTTTAAGCTTGAAAATTGATGACTTAAGCCTAATTTTTTAATTCTGAGTCAACGGTTTATGAAAGACTGTTTAAAGCCAATTTATATATATACTTGTTTTCAATTTTCCAAATATATTTAGTCAGAAAAGACTAATAAATTTTCGGCCTAATTCGGAGACTGATTGTTGCATATCCATCTTGAAATAGTTTTTCAAGAAGCCCCACACTAAATGTAATGAGATTCCATTCGCAGCGATTATTTTAATGTCGTTGGGGCATGACGTGCAGAAACAAAAGGATAATAAATGTTTCGAGAAGCCGCGGTTTTGAGTTGTATATTAGCATGAGACGGAATGATGTAAAAACACATCATAATCGAGTCAAATGGCTCTATGAATAATGTGCGATATGCAAATTGAATACGGTGGAACTCCTGTATAACGAATCGTTTAGGGATTCGTAAATTTGAAACAATTTTTTAGCCTGCTTCTAGCCTATATCACATCAAATTTTGTAAAACTAACCTATTAACTGCAAAAATAAAGCTTACAACACTACAAAAATAACAGAAAACCCTAATATTAATATAAATTCAGTATAAGACCAACAACCAGAATAGAATATATTATGCTAGAGAAAGCTAAAAACAAAAAACATAAATAAAATATGAAAACAACCTGTAGTGTAGATGTACTTTTGTGTGCGAGCTGATCCAAATTCAAGTCAACGAAAACGGGCAGTAAGAAGGTGCGACTTTGTCCGCGAACAAAACTAGACAACGCTCTAGACCAGTCCACCATAGACTGGTTTGTGTGCATGACAAATTAAAGCTATTTTTAAAACTACCAAATTATGTTTTTTCAAAAATGCGTAGTTGCTCAAAAAATTTTTTGAAATTTCATTTTTAAAAAAATTTAAAAATTTTTTTAAGCAAAAAAACCCAAAAATTTCAAAAAAATCAAGCGCTAATTTGTCATGCCGCACCGGCGAAGAAGCCGCGGAATAAAATCAAACGGCGGATAGAACACAACTAATAAACCAACCCCACCTTGAGGCATATGTTAACATTTAGACCTGGGCGCCCTCTCTTCTCTTACAATAAAGTCATTATGGCGTCTTGCAAACCTTTAATCAAGACGTCTTTCTTTTATGTGCTGAAGGCACGAACCCTGGGCCCCGCCGTAATCAATAGGGCATGTCGGATTGAAGAAGGTGTATATTTTTGACACATTTTACGACTGACTTTCATGGGCTTGAATTGGCCTCGAGAGTAAAGTTTTTGCGGTTTCTAGACTTTGAGAAGTTTCGAGGGCTTAGGATATGAGTCAACTGATACTAGCTTTGATCGATTTATCATAACGAAATGGAGTTCGAAGATAAGTGATAGCCTAGTATGGAGGCAAATCCCAAAATCAAAGAACAGACAAGAAAACACAAACTATAACGCTTCCTCACTTAAACATCACCTTACCTCCGGAGCACGACGACGCGCGCTAGCCGAACTATGGCATCGACCACCAGCACGCGACGTTGGTCGACTGCCGTTACTTCCAAAAGACGAATGCCGTGAATCGATTGGCAAATTTAGCAAACTTTTAGTTTCCATTTGACCGTTTTCCAGGTGTAACGGACCATTTTGCGCGCCAGGAATTTTCACTACTTGGGTGAATATTAGAATTGAAGCAAGCCAAAAATGGAAAATGCAAGGTTAAGTATGCACGATGGTTTACTAATTAAAGTTTTCCCTGTAAGCTTGGTAAAGTAAAATATAAAGAAAACGAAAGAAAAATTGTAGCGCAAATTGCTCATTAAAAAAATAGTTTACTTCAGCTAAGTTACTGCAAAAATCATAAACTAGTCTGTTTTTTAATTTAAACTCTAAAACTATAAAACATTTCGAAATATTGTATTGTCTAACACATTTCCGTGTGTGCTAAAAATTATGCAAACAAGCTAAAACACCATTTCCTCCTTAACCAGTTGCCATTAACGACAGTCTAGCGAGCCTATGAAATTTCATATTTTATTACTCTTTTTAGGACAAAGAAGCATTTTTTCTTACAATTTCTTAAACTTTCAAATCGTCCTTAACATAACAAGCCAAGTCAAAAATCCAATCAAAAAATAACCCTTCTCAAATTTTGAGGCCGCACTTAAAAATTAAGTTACTTAAACCTACGCCTCAAAAATTACTTCGCACTTCTATCTTAATATCACTAGCACGTTAATTCGTAAAAACTTGAAAAGAACAATGAAACGTTTTGCCACAACCTGCCCTAACGGCATCTTGTTACTATGGGGACTGTTCAAGTTGTATTATAATAGAAAACAGTGTAAAAGATACGCATTTTTAAATAGAAACGTTTCAAAAGATAAATATGTAATAGACAAATGGACAACACGTTTTGGAATTATGTCGTCACGAAAGGAACACTCGAATCATTGCTGAAATACCAACTCAACTCAAGTCATCACTCCCCGTATGTCAAGCTAACTCTTTGAAGACAAAAGTAAATTTGTAGTAGACAGAGATTTGGTTTATTATAAAACCAAAGTGTAGAGATAATAATAGGTATAATGTATGAACTTGGAAATGTAAGGCAAACTGCTTATTATCCTAGCTGGTGATTAAACATAATGAGTGCAACCTTAAGGCAAGTCACTATATATAAACTACATTTTGTTGAATTGTCTACAAAGCCTAGTAAACAAGTGGTACAAAAAACTAGTAAACATTTAACCAATAAAAACCTTGCTTAAAAATTAAAATAGACTAAACATATCCTTAATTCAAACTCACTTTGCCTCTTGGCGTAGCCGGTCGAGCAACAAACAACAAATCAAACCATGGTCCTCTGCGGCGACTACTTTTCTTACGCAGAAAATGCATCAAACCTTCGTGCTGTCAATGGACAGTTGAACGCCAGTGGACGACGTTCCCGCAAAACAACAAAACACGAAGAAATGTGCGTGTGGAGCCGCGCTCCTTAGTGTCGTAATAATCGACGGCGCGCTTCAAGAAAACCCAGAAGATGTTGGCTGAATATAATGCACCGAAATGACTCCGGCCTATAAGAAGGATGGCCGAAAAAGGGAAAGAAGGAAGATGGAGCTGTAGAACAAAGAACCGTCCGATTCTAGTACTCAAGACAGCAACACAGCATTGGTTGCAACAAATAACTCGTCGCAGCCTTAATGTAGTTGCGTCCACACAACTACTAAGAACCGCGCACCAATGTAGAAGGTCGTAAAGTCGAGTAGACAGCACGGGCGGTTGGTTGCAAACAACGACGGGCCCTTTTATTTTGTGCCACTCCTATTTTTGGTAGACGGCGGGGCTCTTATTGCTCTTCTCCGTGCTGCTTCTTCGTCTCCGTTCTGACCTCTCGCGCACCGACCGCGCAATTGTCACCGTTCGCAAAAAAGAAACGAAGACCAAGAATCTTCGTCTTCCTCGAACCGAATTGGGTTCGAATGGAACTTTTGGCCGCATTTTGCCAAAAAAATGTCAAAATTTTCGGACGAAACAAAAACAAAACAAATGACGATTGAAGGTTTCAAAGGAGTACGAGTAATGATGACTTGAGTAATGATGACTACAATACTACAGTTTTTTAACGTTAAAGTTATCTTACAGTTTTTCAAGGAAAAATTTTTACAACTGTTTTTCCAGAGTAAAAAATGCTTGAAAGGCTTAGATATAATAGATTAATCAAGCTACTTCAAAAAATTTGGTTTAATAAAATTGATGCTGACAAATGATTATTGCTTTTACCATGTCTCAGCCAATTTTTTAGCATGAATATTTGTCCAACGTGCTAATTAAGCAATACCAACTCAAGATTATCTGCCTTTCAAGTTTGCTGTCGTATTACTAACCCAACCAACTCGAGTTGTTTTTGTTTTCACAAAACTTTAGAAGTATGTCACTTCATTACAACTTTAATGATTTGCATAAGATTTTTTACTTTGCTACAGCTTGTTATAGTAGTGTAAAAATATGTAGGAAGGGTTTACAATTATTATTTTTTGCTTTTTGATCAAAAGCTATTTTTACTACTAATGTTTGAAAAGTATAGGAAGACATTAGCTTTGACAGCATATGATCACAAGTGTAGTGTTACATGTTTAGCACTAAAAGCATCTTAAACGTGCGTTTTTAATTGTCCAATATAAATGAAATGTATCTTTTGTGCAAAAATGTAATGTCAAATTACCATTCTTGAAGTAGTTCTTGCAAACTATTGCAAAACGTAGATTTTGCAAGATTTTTCACAGTTTTTTAATATTGCGAGTACAATCAAAAAGCTCTCCAAATCAGTTCTTTGTACTATTACATACATTGTAATATTCGTACTGAATTAATAAAATTAATCCAAAACGTACTCTGCGCCTTTTTGTTTACTACTTAACATTATTCTAATCACTTTCTTAAACAAATAAAAACCTCAGAGTAATGGCGCGGCTCAAAATGAGTGAAAAGCACAGTTTTTTCTAGGCCTTTTTCCGTTTTGGAAAAATTTCGGTCGCTAAAATCCGAGAAAATTATATAAAAATTTTGAGGCTTATTACTGGAACCTATGGCATTTTAAAAACTAGGACCTATGCTATTATTATTACTAAAACCTTTGGCACTCCTTATCGGTTAATATATTGCAATATATTTTGAGATTGTCAGAGACAAATAAATAATGTTAATATTCGTAAAAATACGGTATGCCATGGGAAAAAGATTTGAATCCATAGCAAGTAAATAACTTTAAAAAATAGTTATGAAAAAAAAACCGAGCAATTTGTAAAGTTGTGCAACCGTTCAAACTGCAAAGTCGTCAAGATTAACGGGCTTTTAATGTCCATCTACTAACGTCGTCAATGTGTTTCGTGCTGAGTAATGTGCGCGAAAGATCCCTGGGGGCCGCATATGCCCGAGCTATAAGTCGCAGACAAAAAGAATCGAAAAATAATAGGAAATTTGCATAAAAAATGGAAATTTTTAAAATTTGTCAAATTTACCAAAAATGACTGACAAGAGCTGTCTGAGGAAACAAGTTGGTAATTTTCGTTATATGTAGTTATTGATTGTTAGAAGATAAAACACGAAATGGATATATCATAAAAGAAAAAATTTTTCAGCACCACGTACTAATAAACTTTTTGTACTCTTTAATACCGGTTTTTCACGTACAAGAAGTAAAAACAAAAAAATTAAAAAGTAAACCATCTTCAACCCAAGTATATGAACGACCAGATGCCGCATACGTTCAGACATACTGCCGTAAGTACATGTTTTATGTTGGAATGTGTTGTCAAGAGCTATAGTTTCATACGTATGTTGTGTATACAAAGAAAACGTGAGAAAAAAATTAGAAACTATTCGAAGCAAAAATAGATTTTTTAACCTGACATAGTGTTGTTTTAAGGCTGGGTGGGGTCGGCACCTGTAAACCCCAAAACCGGGGCCTAACCAACTCAGCCCGTAAACCGGGTCGAAAATAGTACCCGGCCCGGCTTTTTTACGGGCTTACTTCAGACATATTATACAACCCTCTCAAGAACCACAAAAATATTTATAGACACAGACAGTAGCATGTACCTGAAGAATGTGAAAAACAACTCAAATTCGAAAAAAATGAAGGCATAAAGAATATAAAAAGCCGTCTTTAGGAGTCAAGTATTGGCAAACAATCCCCAAAATGGTAGCCGTGAGAAGTTGGAAGCTCACTTTACTATTCTGAATTGTATTCTTTCGTTATGCGAATACCGACTAAATGTACCTGGCTGTACTTGAGTACATTTAGAGTTAATGTCCTTTAGGATGAATATGAAAGATAGTTGTTAAACTAGTGTAAAATACGAGACAGTAAGCTTCCTTTGCAAAATTTTTTTTCTTTAAAATTAACCATGCTGGGATTTGGGTCGAAGCAAATTCAAAAAAAACACCAAAAACCATGAGCCAGCCAAGACTCTACCCAATAGCCGGGCCAAAAAAATAGGTCCAGCCTGGCCCTATTACGTATCTAAGGTGTAAGATGCCAAGCAGTACATAGCTTTGAAAAACAAATCTAAAAATCTGTTGCAGTAGACAAATTATAAGCAGCTGAGTTAATCAAGACCTTGCTATACTAATTGATCTTTCTGATCCAAATCACTTAAGCATCGTACTAATTAAAACTCAGTTCCAACCCAATTAACCCGCCTCTGGCTAATCCCCGACAAAAAATTGCCCTTCAATCCACCCAATTAGCGTGATCATCAACAGAAATGGAAAAACAAAAAGAAACGACAACGACTTACTTTCATGTATGTCCCATTGGCCAGGAAAACAGTTAAAGTGGGGTATTTGTCTTCTTGAAAGCGCGGCACCCGAGTCAAGAATCCCAACTGCCCAAACGCACTGTGCAACATGATTCCCAAACAGACACACACCGGAAGCAATAATACCGCTTACATTCAACGTCTCACAGTATTGAATGTCATGTAGAAGGTGCTAAGTATACGATGCTTCAAGGTTTAATATAACCGACATTTTTAAAAAAAATGTTTGGTAAAAAAAAAAAGTTGAAAAGGCGCTTTGAGTTGCAAAAGTTTTAAACCAAACGGATAAAGATCTTTAAACCAATGACGGTACCAACTTATGTAGTATGTGTACCAAAAGTACGGCTTTGAAGGTTCTTAAACCACGGTGAAGGTAAATACTTGTGTAGTAAAAAGTATCGGCAAACTAGTTAACCTTTCCTCCAGCTGAGTGTCAATAAAAGAGAGTAGCTGAATATAGCAGAAGCATTCAAGTAGTTAGATATTTAGGCTTGCAGCTACCTGCAGTAGCAAAAACCAAAAAAGCCTTTTTTTAAAGCACCTTTCAAAGTTAGTAAAATTCTTTTTACAAACTAGATACTTCAGTAATCTACCGCTGAACCAATGTCTCCAAACAAAGTTCAAACAACGCGAAATAAGCTACCGAACCAAAACGTTGGAACGAGTTATTTTTTAAATGGCATAATCATATCGCTTGTCGATTTTCGTCCCAACTTTCCACTAAAAAACCGCCTTCAATTGCCAATTAAGACATTTTTGCCGTCTTCCGTGGCCTCCGCGAATCTCTCCCCCGGCTTCGACGGCAATTTTTACTCTTATTTTGCCGCAAATTCAAAAAAAAAGTCGAAAAAAGCGATGTGGACAGGTGCAATTAGACAAGTCGGCTTTATTAAAAGGTTACTTATCAATGATATCAAGTAAATGCTTCCAGGTGTTCGTCTTGGTATTCATGGTTGCGAGGTTAGAGGGTGTTTGATGAGCCCGCTGGGACATACATTAAAGTATTAGAAAGTATTGAGAGCGGGCTATGGTGTCAGGCTAGATAAATTAAGTGCTTGATAGATTTTTTAGACTTTTGGAATATGAGTATAAAAAAGGCAAATCTTTAGTTAATAGCTGCAAATAGACTTGAAAGAAGGTTCACTGGGCACTCCTCCTCAGGTCTGCCCTAGCCCGGGCACAACTTCGGCCTCAGCCTGAAGCTAGCGTAGGGAGGGTATGGTAGGGAATGGTGTAAGGGGCCACCTAGATTGTGCGGACCCAAACACCAAGCCTGACGGTCTTAAAGATCCATGTTAGGTCCCGCAACGATTTAAATTGTAAGATAACATAAAATAAAACTTAAAATTAAGTAAAATTTTTAAAAAAGCCTGGTCTTTTCGAAAGAAATTATGGTTCTAAGCCATTCGATACCCTAACATGATACTGCAATAACACTAAGCTCCATCGTTTTTTGAGACAAATTAAAAACAGTAATTTGCTACTTTCTTCATTCTTCTCTTCGACCCAATTCGCTTATTTTCGAATGTTTTTTGAAAATAACTAAAAATTTCTTGAACTGGGTTACATACGAAGTTAAAACAGTTCGTACTAAGACAGAATGCAGTACGTTGTAAGTGTACCTTTCATACAGGACCGGGCGCAAAAATAATTTTGAAAAACGTTGAACGTGGTCACCCCTGTGGATATTTGGAACAAATTTTTTGCAAAAAATCGGCACAGGTAGTTTTACATACTTAAAATAATGGTCATGTTGCCAAAAGTAAAGTAAAAATTGAAAAATAAATACAAAGATCAATGACATGATTTGAAGAATGAAAGAAAAAATTACTGAATTCGAACGAAGATTGACTTGTTTTCAAACTTGTTGTGGTATTTCAAAACGTTTTTTCCAAAACCCTAGACATATGTTGATATTTAGATCTGTCTTGATATTTGTTGAACAAACCAGAGCTACTATTTGTGACATTTTTGTTATGTCAAAGGGTCTGTTAGTATTAAAAATGAGATTTTCAATTGTTGTCCTTCGTAACGGAAATCCCTCAATTGTTGCTCATTGTAAAAGAACTCCTATCAAAAAGTACCTGGGCAGTGTGACACCCTGGTTATAAGAACAGATGTAAAATAGACCCTTGAGTGTCATACTAAATTTAAATTTTACTATATTAAAACCAAGCTCCTCACCTATCAAAAAACTCTCTTTAACCAAATAAGACGAACCAGACTTCAAACACAACCACAAAACGAATTACCTGATCCAAAACACTACCCACATTCTGAATTCGCGACGTTCGACGATTTTGTCTGGCTGAGCCTGGTAAACCGCCCGAAGCGGCGGATCGCCTCGGATGTAGCGAGTTGCCGGCGCTTAACGCCGCGGGCGGGGTAAAGGTAAGCGATGGAGCTATACTGTGTTGAGGGTCGTTGGCTCCGCCGTCCGATGCTCCGCCGAAGACGGCAGTTTTCATGTCGTTGGTGATGTTGCGATTACTACAGGTTTATTAGGGTGTTGTATTTACTAAAGTTACCGTAGGATGTTGTGGCTACTCAAGGTACAGTAAGAATGAATGTAATAGTAAAGGCTACCTAATGTAAGGTAAACCCTACAAACTAAGAAGCCCTAAGGCGATGTAGAAAACAACCAATGACAAGTCAACTTTTTCTTTGTCAAGTTACAGTAACCAAACAGCAAAACCTCGTTGCAATTCCAAAGTTTTTCATGTAGGTTGTAACTCCAATGTTGAGCTTTAACAACCATCCTACTGTGTTTGCTTGGTCATAACTACCATAGAAAAACTACAAAAAAGCGTATAATAGTACGGTAGAAAGTACAGTTGAGCAAATATGTTATTGCATAGTTGTCGTAAAGCACAGTTCGTAGTGTTCAGGTAGTGTAGTAGGTTGGTTAAGAATTAATGATTACTATGTACTATAATGTAAATATTGATAAGATATTAAAGGTTTCAACGCGTGGCACGTGTGGTTTATATAAAAGCATAACGTTTATAATGAAAGTACCTATCATGCCTCCCCTACAAAGAAAATCCCCACTTTGCCTCACTCACAAGGAAGGTACCCTACTTGTTCCGCCCACAAAGAACGTACCGACCCTGCCCCACTCAGAATCAGCTCAGAGTCTTGATATGAATCTTTCGTACCACCAATAGTACCCATAAAAAATTTTAACTTGTGCTTTTGAGTTTCCCGCCAATTTAAATATTTGAGTTTCTAGACGGATCGGGCAAATTGGCATTGTGTTGCAAGTACTTTTTCGACTTTACAGACAAGCTACGCTTACAACTTTAAAAATGTAGGTTTAGTTAAAGGTCTTACTAGAATATCACCGAAAAAGTCCAAAACGACTAAGTTGTAAGCTTGAAACGCAATGCCAATTTGGCGGAAAATTCAAAACGCAAATTTTTTGATCTCAAGTGTCTTGAGAGTTCCTAGAACGCACGATTAAATTAACTGAATAGAAACTTTCTAATGCTAACTTAAAATCAATGCGACTACAAAAATACGTTCAGATGCTACAAATCATTCAAAAATTACACTGTCCCATCTATTTATGCCCTAATTTAAAAAATATCAAAATTTAAAACTGCCAGCAAGCGCATTTCCTAACAGTTAATAAGTTGAAAACATGCCATAACAAGAGCCTACGATTAGATAAAGTAATTATAATACTGCCCTTTAAAGTGGAGCGGCCGTCTTGTTTTTTAGCTAAACATAACAATTAACAAAACCATGTTTTTCAGTATTATGTCGTTAAAAAGCGCCAATTAATATTTAAACGGGTTTAAACTACACGCAGACTTGAAGAAAGGCCAAGATTCATGGTGTTTTGAATAGGAAATGCCTAATTTATGATGTCTTGGGGACTAAATTTTTAAAATTTATGATTTTTGGCGGTCAAGCAGGAATGGCGATAAGAACAGGGAAAAAAGCGGAAGGGGGGGGTGTGTCGAGTGAAAAAAGGGGGGGGTGTCGAGTGAAAAGGGGGGGGCTGTTCGAACTGATATAAAAAACTAACAGATAAAATACTCAAAAAATTTTCTTTTAGTTTACTCCCCACCTCCTAAAAAATTGAACCCCCCCCTGTTGACATTTTCGATTTTTTGAAAAAATAGAAAAATTTAAAAAAAAAACTCCCCGTTTTACACCACTTACCCTACCCTAACCAACCGTACTCTATTGTATACCATCCTATTTTACCCTACCTTAACTCAGTTCTATTTTAATCCACCTTACTTTAACTTGTCTTCCAGTATCTTACCTACCCTACCCTAACCCACAATAACCTCAACCCAGCCTCAACCCAATCCCATCCGAACCATCCCAACCTTTCTCTAACCCCCATCCGACCTATCCCAACCTCAACCCAATCCCCATCCAACCCATTATCAACAAATTCCGGCAAAAGTCAAATTTCACCACGCCGGCGCTAGATTACAATGCTCGCGGCACAAAAATATGAAGACGGAAGAAAAGCGGAGCACGGGACGGTGGGGATCTGGTTTAAGGATAAATAATTATTTATTCCTCACTTCCCTCACTAAGATTCGTCTTATTTTGGAAATTACGGCAAGCTTCACTGATTTTAATTCCCCCCCCCCCCCCTTGAAAACAATAAATTTGTGTGGAAATTGTGTTAAGGCGCCCTCCGGATATTATTCTCGCAAAATATTTTGTTGGAACAAAAGGTGGCTTTTATTTAGTTCGGATAGGTGACGTTTTTAATACAAGGCGTTAAAGAAATGTAAAGTGGGCATGGGCAGGCATGCGAATTTTGCGTTTGGCTATTAGGAGCGAAATCTGCAAATAGCTATGGTGAAAAATGTTTAGAAAAACGTGCAAAATTTTGAAAAAATTCAAAAGCTGCAAAAAAATTAAAAAATTTTTTAAAAGAATTTAAAATGCCTAAAAAATTCAAAAAGTTTCAAAAAATTCCAAAAAATTTCGAAAAAAGTCAAAAAATTTCAAAAAATTTCTAAAAATTTTAAAAATTTCAAAAAGTTTCAAAAAATTTAAAAAAATTTAAAAAAATTTCGAAAAAAGTCAAAAAATTACAAAAAAAATTAAAACATTTTTATAATTTCGAAAAATGTTGGAAATCACAAAAAACCCCTCATATCTAACCCTACGTGCCTTTCTTAAACATAATTTTTTCCAAACAATGCACTATAATTAAATTCATAAAACGTGGCGTGCCCAAAACAATATAAAACAGGTTGCTAGACAATGCAAACGTTGTCAAAATAAATAAAATGAAAAAGTCCATAACGTCAAAAATGTAAAAAAACCGAGCTGTGTGTCTAGAAGTTTTCTGTTTGATTACAGGATAAGTCATACCCTGTAATTTAGGATTTTAAAACATAGAAATTGGGACATAGTTTAAAAAGTTAAGAATTTGAATTTTGCTTTACCCTACCCTACCCTACCCTACCCTACCCTACCCTACCCTACCCTACTCTACCCTACCCTATCCTACCGGGCTTTACCCTACTTTGAATTACCTTATTTTACTCCACCCTACTTTCCAGAACCCAGCCGTACCGTACCATGTCGTATCGTACACCACTTTATCCTATTCTACCTTGCGTTGCTTTAACTTGCCCTGTTCTATTTTTTCTACCTTAATGTGTCCCTCTTCGTATTTTACCGTACTTTATCCTGCCGTAGCATGTTTTACTCGTATTCTATCCAACTTTATACTAGAAAACAAAATTCAACTTTTCACAAAAAAAATTTTTTAAAATAATTTAAAAGGATGGTTAAAAAATTTTGTCTGAAAAACAAGAAAAAAGCAAAGTTATGCGTTAAAAGTGAAAAGTAAAGAAAATTATTAACATTTGTCGGAACTGAAAACGTTAATGACGTTTCTTGCGTGCCGGGCACGACTCAAATTACATAGCAAAAATGTGTTCTGATCAGGGTGTTAAAAAACTGGGATTTTGAAATTTGAAAAAATTTTTTTGTTTTATAATCAACTCTACCCTACCTAACCTTTCTGTACCAAACTTTGTTCTACCCTACTCCACTCTACACTACTCTACCTTACCTTCCCCTACTCAACCTTGACTTGCCGTACCTTGCCCTACCTAAACTTACTCTACCTTACCTCACCCTACCCTACCAACCCAAAAACCCCCTTTCCCATCCCTACTACAACCTATGAGTAACTAATATTATGCATATTATACTACCTAACGAAGCAAAAGTAAAACCAAGTCGGCGAGGCTCGCGCAGCATTTTTGCCCTTAGGCATCTAAAAAAATTTACCCTTCCTTCAGTTTTTTCGTTATAAAAAACCATCGAAAATTTGAAAAAAAAATACTGTGTGAAGAGAAATGCCTAGAACAAGGGGGGGGAGGGGGGCGATGTTCGTACCCATAACATAGACGTATGAGACAGGTCTTTTTAGTAATTTACTATAATATAAAAGCTACTATAATGGCTAAACCTAATATAAAAAGTTTACTACAGGACGCTCTGGTCCGTCCTGTAGTAAATTGACTATGTTATAACTAGTACTATATGTTACTATTGTTAGTTGTTGTTTTAGTTAAATTTGTTGTTAAAATAAAGATTTGATTAAAAAACCGTGTAACAGAACTTATGGCGCACCCTTATTAACAAGTACTATAAAAGCAGTACTATATAACTGATCTAAATAAAAAAAAAAACTCTATTTTGTACCAAAATCTATGTTTCCCACTATTTGAAGTTAATCCAATTCAAAGTTAAACTCATTTCAAACACAAAAAATGTCTTTGATTTTGCGTAGGACAAAGGTTTTCTTTTGCATTTTATCCAAAATCTTATTTCGTCGTAAAAAAGGACAGAAAAATGAAGAAAAATGTCGAAAATTAGAGTTTTCTTACTATGTAAGAGGCTAGAATAAGTTTTCCGTATTTTAGCTACAATAGTGGAGGATCTTTCTTAACAAAAAAAAATCCCCCCTCCCCCAGAAAACTGTCTTTAAAAACTTGACTTCCACCGATCGTCTTACCCTCTTTGCTCTAAAAATCTTCTTAAAAATTCCCTCCCTCTATATTTTCACCCGCTTTGCCCTAAAAATTCCTCCTTTCCTTCTGCTACCAAGTACAACATAAGCAACCCTCTTTTAGCTACCGAACTCTCTCTTTGCCTACTCGGTGTTACACTACTTTACCTTACTCTTAACTCTTTCCTACCTACTCAGTCTAAAACAATCAACCTTTTCCTAGCTACCGAGTCCAAAATACCCTATCCTTTCTTAGCTTCAACAACCTTTCTTATTAATCAACATCTAAACCAAGAAAACCTCATATGTATTTCTTTGAAAAATTTAAATATAGTTACTCCCCCTCTAAGTGCCTTCAAAATTTTGCACAAGAAAGCATTAAGAGCGTGATAAACAAAATCATCACGCCCAAACCCCTTGAACGAGCCCCCAGCACGAACGTCGCCAAAAACAAAAAGAAGG